TATGGGGTGATACTCTTAGTTCTTTCGGTAAAGTCACGTAGGTAAAAAATGAAATTAAAATTAATAAAAATAAAATAAAAAAAATCACGACGTCTCGGAGGCAACACAAGTCTCCGTCATCAGGTGGGACCATCACAGCCAGATTTGCTGTATCAAGTTAGGCAGGAATTCAAGATGTAAGCCCTTAAATACAAGTTAAGGGGGGAGGAGAGGGGGGGGAGCTTATCAGAATGTGGTAGCCAACGAATGGAACGTATCGAAACGTCGTGATTTTTATTTTATTTTTATTAATTTTCAATTTCATTTTTTACCTACGTGACTTTACCGAAAGAACTAAGAATATGAATCCTTGCAGTCACGAAAGCTTCAAAAATCTACAACTATGGGGTAATGCCATTTAACCACTGGGTTTATAGCGCCACCCTGTGGTTGCTGAGCAGCGGTGCGGGTACGGCCGCCGCCACGTGCTCGACCACGAGAGCGCGCGGGTCGCGCCGCGCGGAGCTGCGACCCGCGCGCTTTGGCATCTCGCTTGGCGCGAGATGCCACGGGGGGTGCGTTTAAATCCCCCACCCACCCCCACCCCGTGACCCGACACCCAGACACACGCACAGGGGAAACCCGACACCCAGATACCGTGCGCACAGCTACACACACGGCTACACACAGGGCTACACACACCTACACACACAGCTACACACGGCTACACACACACAGCTACACACGGCTACACACACACAGCTACACACAGCTACACACACGGCTACACACACACACAGCTACACACACAGCTACACACACACACAGCTACACACACACAGCTACACACACAGCTACACACACACACGGCCACACACACACACGGCTACACACACAGCTACACACACACAGCTACACACACACAGCTACACACACGGCTACACACACCTACACACACAGCAACACACACACACGGCAACACACACACACACAGCTACACACACACAGCTACACACCTACACACACACAGCTACACACACACACGGCAACACACACACACAGCTACCCTACAGCCAGCTACCCTACAGCCAGATATCCTACACACAGCTACACACCTACACACACACACAGCTACACACACAGCAACACTCACACAGCTACACACACAGCCACACACACACAGCTACACACACACAGCAACACACACACACGGCTACACACACACAGCTACCCTACAGCCAGCCACCCTATAGCCAGATATCCTACAGCCAGCTACCCTACACGCAGCTACCTACACCAGTTACGATTGCTCACCCAACCCTACCAACGGCTTCGAGCTCCACGCATTCAAAGCTCAGAGATCAACACTCAGAACAATTAAAATGCATTAACACCGCAGCTGGAAAGTTTGTAAATCATCTTCAAAGCGAGCGGCCAAACAGATGCCGCTTAATTATAAGACGACTAATTAAGTGACGCTACCCTTTAAGCGGATTACTGAAACTACGCAAATCAATTACCTATTGATAACCAACAACTAAACCTTTAAAACGTTTAATTATTTACTCCGCACTGAGCTGTCGCATTTCCCCCCCCCCCGAACAGTGACGATTGAGACTACATCGGGGGCCGTCCATAAATGACGTCACGCGATTTTGGACAATTTTTGACCCCCCCCCCCCCTCGTCACACGGCGTCACAAAAAGTCAGACCCCCCTCCTCAAATATGACGTCACAAAGCTCTGCCCCCCCCCCCCAAATAAAACATGCTTCAAATCGCTTTAAACTATTGTCATTGTAGTGCGTATTTAATGTACCGCTGCAACTCTGATGTTGTAGGAGAAAATATTTATTGAAAAGTCTATTTAATTAAGTAGAACGTGTTGTCTATATTTATTTAAAGTTGCGCATTTTGATGTGAAGTCACATTTCTCACCCGCCCCCCCCCATCGTCACACATCGTCACAAATGTCTGACCCCCCCCCCAATAGGTGCGTGACGTCATTTATGGACGGCCCCATAGCGGAGTGACAGTCGAAGGGTGGTTTACAGGCGCGCGATCCAACATCGGCGCAGGGCCGAGCGTGGCCAGACGGCTCGTGGAGGCTTTCATCCAGGAGTGGATTGATCATGGTTGATGATGATGATGATGATGAACCGGTTTGTGTTAACACTCCTGAAGTCATCGCATGTGTCGTGATGAACAAATGCACGGGTCCCACCCTCCTGCTGATCCTGGGAAAGTTGAAACCTGTTCAAGAGCTTGCTTGATTACCGTTAAACATATGCTAATAAAGTAAGACAATTAGTCTAGGAGGCCGATAGCAGGGCAGCATAACTAGTGTCTTTTGTTTTTACACAATTAAACGAGCCTGTGTTCTGTAATGTTTTAGCTTTGTATAGACTGCTTCATTCAATTGATTTCGTTTGATTCATCTTCTTGGTTCTTTCGGTAAAGTCACGTAGAAGGGAAGTAATAAAATAATAAAAATAAAACACAAAATTCGTTTGATTCGTCAAGCAAATTCGCTGGACTTATATAAAATCACGGGTATGTGACTTGGATCCAAGTTACTAGGATAAAGAGTTGGGCTAATGCAATCGTCGGAAACCAAAATAACAATAAGAGCCTTTTTTTGGAATTCGGTAAAAAAAAATATTTAACATTTCAAGAGTGGAAATGCACTGTGGTGACCCTTAATACATGTCACGAAGCACTCCATAAAGAACCGCATGTGCTTGCAGATCCGCAGCTTGTAGACCCTGGACTAATGTGTATTGCAGTATTGTTGAGTCCGACTGCATGAGGGTTGTTTTGTTGTTGGGAGTAAGGGCGGTTGTTATTGTTGGGGCTTGAGAAGAAGCTTTCCCAAACTCTCATTCTCTCTCTTTGGTTCTTTCGGTAAAGTCACGTATAAAGATACAATAATAAATTAAATACTAGCATACGACGTTTCGATTGCAACACAAGCAATCATCATCAGGTATAAATTAAATAGAAACACAAATCTAGTATACTTAGAAATGTAATGCAATACAACAGAGAGTCGGATAACATAACAGTCAACACCCTACCTGGTTGATTACGTTCTTCCTGAGAATGCTAAATTTGAGAGAGAGATAAAACACAGAACCAGAGACATATAGACATACATATATCTCATTCTCTCGTCTCATCGTCATCCGTACCTCTTTCCACGATGATCAACTTTCTCCATTCCAATACAACTGTTACACACCGCACGCGCCTGATAGTTGCTGTACACGTCTCACATACTACGCGGAGCGGCGAATGAAGATCTGTAATCACGAAAAGGCGAACTCTATCTGTCGCTCAGAATGGGGTTCTTAACAACGATTTATCATTGATGTTGTTCGGCTAATGTTCGCGATACGGTTAAATATAAGGTGAACACAGAGTCAAAATTGTTAAAAAGCGAATTTAACAACGTCTGATATAGAGTTAGAATAATACGCATTTATATAGCGCCTTTACTATTAAACATCGTCCACAGCAAGTTCCGATTCGTTGGGGGTTTCAGGTATAGGCTGATATGTGAACTGGCCGGATGAACGGCTTTGTGAGTCTATCTACAGACAATTGATTAGACTGAACAACAACTAGTGCGGTTACGATGCCAAGCTTTTTTGTTGTTGTGCCATAGTTCCGCGCACAATCAGGCAACCCTGCACACCGTTTCACAGACCCCCCCCCCCCCAGTTAGGGCCGTATAATGCTCGGGTTGGCGGGATTTTCCGCGGGTAAAAAAAAAGTCTCAAAGCGAGAGCTGGAAAGAGCGGGCTTCGTGCAAGGGCGCGGTGGGATGGGCCGATGGGCGGGTGAGTGAATGGCTGGGTGGGTGAGTGGATGACTGGGTGGGTGGATGAGTGGATGTCTGGGTGGGTGGATGATGGTTGGGTGGGTGAGTGGATGGCTGGCTGGGTGAGTGGATTGCTGGACGGGTGAGTGGATGGCTGGGTGGGTGGATGATGGTTGGGTGGGTGAGTGGATGACTTAGTAGGTGGATGATGGCTGAGCGGGTGAGTGGATGGCTCGGTGGGTGAGTGGATGACTGGTTGGGTGGATGATGGGTGGGTGGGTGAGTGGATGGCTGGGTGGGTGAGTGGATGACTGGGTGGGTGAGTGGATGACTTAGTAGGTGGATGATGGCTGAGTGGGTGAGTGGATGGCTGGGTGGGTGAGTGGATGGCTGGGTGGGTGAGTGGATGACTGGGTGGGTGGATGATGACTGGGTGGGTGGATAGATGGCTGGGTGGGTGAATGATGGCTGGGTGGGTGATTGAATAGCTAGGCGGGTGGAGAATTGGTTGAGTGGATGATTGGCTGGCTAAATGGTCGATTGAATTGCTGGTTTGGGTAGATGGACAAGTGGGTTGATGATTGGTTCAGTGGATGAATAAGTGGGTGGATGACTGGCTGGGTGGATGGTTGGTTGAGTGGATGACTGGCTGGGTAGGTGGATGGTTGAGTGGGTGGTTGAATGGATGGCTACGTGGATTATTGATTAAGTGTATGGCTGGGTGGGTAGATGGATGGTTGAGTTGGATGAATGGCTGGGAGTACGTGTGGCTGGGTGGATGAGCGGATGGCCGGGTGGATGGTTGGTTAAGTGGACGTCTGCGTGGATAGTTGGTTGGCTGGGATGGCGGGGTTGAGATGTTGAAATATAAACAGCCAGGAAGGAGAGTAAAAAAACACACCGCCTGCGAGTAAACGTCTGTCACCTTCCTCCCCTCCCACCACTTCTTTGTTCATTCTACCCCGCCCCCCCGCTGCTCTCTGATCACTCGGGGTAGGGTACGTGGGGTCCACCCCCTCGTCGCCTTGTAGGTGGGTGGGTTATCGTCTGTGTGTGTGTCTGTGTGTGAGTCTGTGTGTGTGAGAGGGGTGGAGCATGAGAAAGCGCGGTAAATTTCGTGCGTGCGGCGCGCCAAGGCTGACCTATATAGCACACGGGGCTCACTGCTGCTGTTCTTCGCCTGCACCGCCCAGCCCTGCATCCATCCCATTGATCAGCAATTGGGCCCCTGGCTGTGTGCAGTTGAGCATCCACCGCTCTTTAAGTCGACGCGTGTTGCCCTGGCCACTCTCTCTCTCTCTCTGTGTGAGTGTGTGCGCTCACCTACCTAGCCCGGTGCCTCGTCGTCGCAGACCTTTAAAAGCCACCGCGCTCACTAAGTAACAATGATGAGCGTTAAGACGTGACAAAAAACGCAACTTCGTGGAAGTTGCCGGACCTCTTGGGAAGAAAGGGTCGCGCGCAAGACGAAGAGGCTGCGTGAGTCCGTTGGTTGTCCGACGTTTCGGAGGAGCTCTCGGTCGCGTGTTTGTCACAAGGCGATTACAGAAAAGCACAAAGTTCGCGTGGACTTTGTGTAGCTGCTATTCATCAAAGGCGCTTCGTGGGTGTAATAGGACGGTCCTTTTGGGAGCACAAGCCATTTCATGCGGTGGCACCACGCAGACAGAACGGTGAGTCACTTGTTGTTGTTGTGTGTGTGTGGTATCATACGGACGAACCGATTGATTGCGGTGTCACGATGGTGATGGCATTTAAATGTTTCGATATCGTTACGGTTCTTGACAACCGCAAATACTGGTGAGTCATTGACGCTTCGGCGGCGATAACAACAACAACCACAACAGCAGCAGCAACATGTGCAGAGACTGTGACTGTTGTTGTTGTTGTTTGTCCGAGACGTGGTGACGGTGCAACAAGACGCGTTGTTTGGGAGTTGACTGCCGTCTCTTACTCGTGGATTTCTGGCGAGCGAACCTCGATGACCGCACCGAATGCGTGCATTCCTAATGTTGCCCTATTAGTAATGACTATTGCACGGACGTCAATCCACATTTGGACGGGTGCGGTTAAAGTAAGCCCAGATTTGTGCAACGATGAGACGCACATTTGAGTCGTGACACTCACAATAATTCACTGGTCAACAAAAAAAAAACCATTTTTTTCTGGCCTGGACTTTTGCAGCTGTTTTAGACTAATTTCAGGGTGCTGATTCCAAATCTGATCTCAGATTTGCTCTATCACATCTCATTTTTATGCTATCGGCATACCCCATTTTCATTGATTTTACCCGAAATTAACTCTGTCACTTATGATTGCAAGTGGTTGCGAGTCAGTGACTGCTTTAGTGTTAAAATATGGTGCTGTATTTTTAGGATAGTGTGTTTATAATATCATTTTATGTAGATATCCGCATTTATTTAATATTTTTGTTCTGAAGTTTTCATTGAAAATGCAATATTTGATATCTCAAAAACCTGATGTGGTAGACAAAAACTGATCCTAGATTTGGAATCAGCACTTCAAAATTACCTTAAAACCGTTGGAATACCTTATGCCAGAAAAAGTGTGTTGACCAGTGAATTATTAGACGCCAGTGACATGCATTTTACTGCAGGAGCTCTCGCTAAGATTATGTTTTCAGGAGGAACCCTGCATTGAGACGTTTGGCCAAATTTTTGTGGGATTACAGCAGAGTTCACGGATAGCTGGCTTACAAGTTGTACTATAATAACATCTGTGTGTAGTCTACTCTACACTCTACAGCATATCATGTTGTACAGCATTACATGACAGAGAACAGGATGATAACAGGATGACACGACCGATTATTTAAACCGCGTACATGACACTTAAACAGTAGAAGAGTGTGCATGTTGCATAATGTATGTTGTGTGAATTGCATGCAAAAGCGGGGAGCGGCGGCGCAGTGGTTAGTGCGATTTGCTATAAACCGAGCCAACACTGCTAACAACAGTCACGAATATCTGAACCGGTCCTAAGGCTATAATGGGGGATCGTTGTCTTTGGGATGATGACATGGCCTTAGTTGGAGGGCATTCGCTGCTGGTTGACGAGGTTCGAATCCAGCGGCCGCCCTGATTAATACTGCGGTGTGTATTAACCGTAAATCTACGCGCCGTTTGCTTCACGGTGGACGTTAAAGATCCCGTGACGCCACTCGCAAGAGTCAGGCCATTGGTAAATTAAAACCCATTTCATTTGAAGCGTCCTATTATCCACGCTTTCCTCCTTGACTGCGAAATCAATCCTTAGTAAATGCGGAAACAAGTACGAATTTGCTGCGAGAATATTTTTTTAAATATCTGAAAAAACAAACCCCACGGAATACTCGGTTGGGGATTGTTGACCTGCGACGCCCACTTTCGAGGTGCGCATTTTATCTGCGGAATACAGGGACAATATGAAGGCTCTGGTGCACGACTCCCTTTGCTCGCAGTTTATTCAGAGGGTTCCGTAATTAATAGGAAGGACAAATTACGGGGACGTGGATAAGAGGAGATTAACCGTGTTAAACCGTTCATGAATTAAACACTTTCAGGCTCCACGCAACTTAATTGCTAACCTTAGAACTACAATTTCTGAACGTAAATTGGCCTTAAGTGTGACTATGACTGTTTCGGGTCAGTGACTTTGATTCCATTTTCTCTGTGGACTTGGAGCGATGGTCGAGGGCTTTTGCCTGGTGGATGATGTCTCCGTGTGTCTCCCCTCAGGGCATGGCAGGCGAGACGGACGGGTGCCTGAGTCTCTGTGATCCCACTGAGCCGAAGCGCCACCAGATGCCCATCAGACCACGCCCAGTCTGGCATGAGAGGGAACACGCAAGCTTGCCTCGCCACACACAGAAGGTATCGGTGACAAGGCACCAGGGGAACCTCGCGCGAGTGACCGCAACTCTGCACGTGGTGTCACGCGCGACCGATAAATGCAACGCGTCTTTGTTTGGCATCCGTAATCATCCGCGATAATCGTCGTAAGTTATCGTCAGCAGCAATTGTCCGTTCATTCAAATCAAGTCGAAGCATCGGAACGTTTGGCATCATCGCCGTTATGATTGCGCGAGGTTATCAAGGCGCTGTGTTTCACGGACGGGTATCCGTTCCGGAGTAGTTTCACAGTTGGGGGGCGACGTTCCTGCTCGTTTACAAATGTCGTGTTTTTTTATGCGGGTAAATCCTCAAATGTGGCAAACGATCCGTAAGATTGTCATCTTCCGGCCGCAGGAAAACCATTGTTTGGAGTCGACGGCCCAGAAATCTCTGCACCCAATGCTGAGGAAAAGCTTCGGCCTGGCAACGACTTCGCAGTGCAAGCTCAACCGGGCGGCCACCGTCACCGCCACGGCCACCTCCATTCCTCGCGGGGCTCCCGCGCCCCACGACCTCCTGGACGCCGCCACGGCCGCTGCCCTGACAGCGACGCGTGCGCGTGCCTCGGCGGCGGGGCGCGGGCCTGGCACGCGCGACGCGTCCTGCCTGGAGCGGCTGCTGGCGGCGGCCGAGCCGGGCGCGACGGCGGTGGAGGGCCCCGAGCGTCCCTGCGCGAGCTGGGAGCCGGAGCGGCCGGCTGGAGATGAGGAGGTGAGCGGCGGAGCACGAGGTTACTGGACGGACGCTGTCGCGCGGCGGCCCTGTGGATGGCTTCGTGGCGCAACCGCTCCGTCAATTGGTGGCGTTTTTGTAGATCGCGATACACGCGCGTGCGTACAAATTGCGCGTATAAATCGTAAAAAGTTTACGGGGAAAAGTAACACGTTTCTTTTGCCTGTAGCTACCATTGTAACGGTGCACGGAAGTACGCAGCGTGTGAAATTGAGTATGGGAGTGTGCGAAGTGAGCGCGCTGACAAGGGGAGTAGTTGTCGAGTAAACGTGAGTCCCGAATGAAGTTGCGGTGCCGACACATTGGGGGGCCCCCAAGGACAAACTACTTTTGTGATTCTTCCACCAACCCCACACACCAACCACCTGTTTAGAAGTGGTAAAATACCAGTGAGATCACGGAAGAGAAACGAACAAGATATATAGATGCAGGGAGACAAGAGAAATGCAGATATGAATTGAGATGTGATAAGATGAGTGAATTAAAGATGCAGACAGGATATAAACGAAAAATATGATTCGTCTATTTATGGTTATGTTATGAAGTGGACATGCCTATGGGGTCTTATGACGCATTCGTTGGTCGATTAATTCTGATTCTAAAGATCATGATACATGCATAAAATCGCATGAGTAAGAATATATATTAATTATATATGATGTATATAATGGGTTTGTGTGACCCTGGCAGTCAATTACAGTTACTGGCTTGTACAATGACCACATATATAAAAAAAAAATAACTCATTGATTCAGGTATACATTTTCGACGCAAAATCACAACAATTCATGGAATGTCCATGGATGGGGGAGCTAGGGGGTTGAGTCATCACCCAGTTCTGTCGTAAACTGATTGATTATCTTACGCAGCATCAATACATTTTTGTGATTTAAAAAAATCGCTAAATATTCACCTTGTTCTCAGATTCCTTACGTGTTAATTGTATCCGCCTATTAAGTGCTCCAAGGTAGTAGTGGGCAGTGCAGAAAAATCAGTTGTTGTACTGTATTTCAATGCCCTCACATCTATGCTTCATGTCTTAACCAACCCACGTTGACAAGTGTGGTTTACATATAGTCAAATGAAACCCCCATGACCCGCACGGTATGGGGGAGGCCATCGTGCAGCAGTGGATTAACAAAGAGCCGCACGTACACAAACATCACAGTTTGCTTATTCTTAGGTTTTTTCGGTAAAGTCACGTAATTAAAAAATTAAAATTAATAAAAGTAAAATAAAAGTATTTTATTATATTATAGAATTTTTATTTTACTTTTATTAATTTTAATTTTTTACCTACGTGACTTTACCGAAAAAACCTAAGAATATGAATCCCTGCAGTCACGAAAGCTTCAAATCTAGAATCACAGTTTGCGCTCAATAACCCACCTCAGTACCACAGTCGACTTAACAATTTTAATTTCCCCAACGATAACGCACGGCATATCGACGGGACGTGTGAAAATCCCCCACTTAAAACTGGCAGCGATTCCACAGCGGCGCGCCGGATGCTCACCCAATGTGAACGGTTCGCTGCCGATTTTCCACGCAGTTGGCGTGGCCCGAGGGCCGGCGAGAGGTCGATTGCCCGGCTCAGTGCAGCCGCAAGGACAAGAGCCTGGGTCTGCTGAGTCTGCGATTCCTGCGCAAGCTGCCGCCCTACGCCGGCCCCACGCACACTCCGGACGTCAGCTTGGACCACGCCGCCTCTCAGCTTGGTACGTCGTACGTTTACCCGCCCGCCCGCCTGCCCGCCCTGCCGTCTCCCGTCCCGGTGTACAATCGCAATCGAGCGAAAGGATAGATTGGACGAGGTTGCCATCCAGCTTAATACTTCGCACGGCTGGCATGCAATGCACAAGCAGTAGGTTGAAGCACTATGCCGTCCAGCTCGGCTTGTTGATGCCCTAGTCGGGGACTGTATTACTTGGGCAGGCGCTGCTGGCCATCGGGCCATCACGACAAAGTCATGCAATACAACAAATCATCGTTATCATCATTATCATTGGCTATTATTAATTTACTGCTGGGTGAAGGCTTCCACATGCCATGCCTATCCCTCGCAGTCCAGTAGGGAGGGTTGTCACCTTTTCTACAGACTAAGGCCTGGCACTTTTCTCGGTCAGCCTATCTAAATTCTGTGTTACGTTCAACACAACAATGCCAGAAAATCTTAGCAGAAATCCATTTCTGCCACTGGAACACAGATGCCAATTCCCAGACTCTCCCGGTCAAACCCAGACTGGTGGCAACACCAAATCTCGCACCTGCGCATGATCTGATGTCATCGCCACGTTGGATGGCCTCTCCGCAAGTGTTCCCTTCATTTGGTTTCCACTTCATCATTCGTCTGGACCATTGTTCTACTACCCTGATCCATGTGTTCCTCTTTCTCTCAGTATAATTCTAACCATTTTCTTTGTCCACTGGAGGTATGGACTATTAAATCTAAATTGAAAACTATTTATTTTTAAAGAGCTTTTTGTGTTTAGTTCGTTGTCCTTCCCCCGTACCTCCGGTTATCGCGGTTGGCTACGTCCGGTGCGAAATAAGTTCAAGATACATACATTGTTAATGTCCATGTTTTTCTTTGTTGTTTAACCAAGCAAAGTTTTCCATAGGAGACGGGGGTTACTATAGTTGTTAGGCACAGGCATGCTTTTGTTTCAAATGTAGTTAAACGCTGTTTTCTAAATTGGGATTGGGTATATGTAACTCGCACTTTACAACATAGAGCACGTGGTGGTACACCTCGCACTGGAATTACTGGACAGCTGACAACACCAGCTGGCCCAGTGGAAAACATGCGGAACATCTCCTGCCCCGCCCCCAAACATAACCTGTATTGAACCAAAGGAACAAAGACCATGAACCATGGTCTTTGTTGTGACTAGTTATGTGGTGATTGTTTTTTAAAATGTGTTTGAATGTGGAACGGTGGCTGAGGTATTAGAGCAGCGAGGTCACCAGTGACTGCACACAAAAAAACTACTGTCCTTGCACATGAAATACAAAAAAAATCGCCTCGACTGCCACACATTGAACATTTCTCTGTAGCAGAGTGCTTGAGGAAGTACAATGCCCCCTTAAAGTGGATAGAAGATGTTACTTGATGGGATCTTGGATGTAGTTGTGTGAGATCTCCTTCCACGGTCCACTCTCTTAACACATTAAGGTCACAACTGCTCTGCAAGAGTTTGCAAACGATTTTAGTCCATCTCGTGACCTTATGCCGAGCGGACAGTTGGAACGAAGGTAATAGGGTGCATCCCTGCCATTGCGTACGACACTGCTGGCAAAAGGGCCACCACTAGACGGAGCTCCACAGAACCTCTTTGGTGGGTATTTGAATAAAACTGGGGAAAACATGCAATTAGTATGTATGTACGACTTCTTTCACACCTTCTTGGTTCTTTCGGTAAAGTCACGTAGAAGGGAAGTAATAAAATAATAAAAATAAAACATAATAAAATAATTCTCACGACGTTTCTTTTTTATTATTTTATTTCTTCCCTTCTACGTGACTTTACCGAAAGAACCAAGAAGATGAATCCCTGCAGTCACTAAAGCTTTAAATCGAAATTCTTTCACACCGTTCGCAGCCAACTGTGCTAACCTATTACTATACGTATACACACGTTCAACTCGCTCAACACGACCACCCCCCCGCCCCCCGCGGCTTCTACCCAACAGGCGTCGAGCGCCGCCGAATCTACGACATCGTCAACGTTCTCGAAAGCCTGGAGCTCATGAGCCGCGTGGCCAAGAACCGCTACAGCTGGCACGGCCGCGACAGCCTGGTGCGCACCCTGGACGACCTGGAGCACGAGGCCCGGCGCCAGGGCTATCCCGCCAGGCTGGAGGGCCTCCTGCGAGCCGGCGCGCCCAAGACGACGCCGGGTCGCGGCAACGCCGGATCCGCCGCCTGCTCGCCGATGGAGCAGGGGGGGTCACCCGAGCGCGGGGTGAACACGGAGCCGGGCCACCGCGAAGACAGCACGGGCCGGGCGGTGTCAGGATCCAGAGCTCCTGGTATTGGGATTTTATCATGATCGCAATGGCAGGGCCATTTAGAGTTACCCAGAAGCAGCCTGTGTGGATGCACCACAGTCAGTGGTGTGCAATGCACGCCCCCCTGAGGGCAACACGGACGAGCCCCTTCCTGAAAGAGTGTTAGGACTCAATTTAGGCTTTTTGGTACGCATAGGTAAAGGTGCAGGCCTGCAATTACTTGCTTACTCCACTGTTGGTGGAAGAGCATCCACTGGAGAGCGCATCTCGAGGGTATTTTGGCCTACTCTTCTACGCTGGCAATATTATCTCGGAAGAGGTGTGTATATCCACACTTCATCCCACTAGGTAGGACCTTTAAATTGACTCAACGTGGCGGGTGATTTAAGAACCGTGCCCTTTTCACTGAAAGATTGAAGCCCCAACATCTGGAATTTCCAATCCGGTGTGTCCACCGTGACACGCTGGCAGCGTCCTGATGTGTGTACAATGTGGGAGCAATAACATGAGGCTATAACCACTTTGTATATTTTTTTTGTCTGTCCTCACCCGCAGCTGCTGGCAGCCGGAAAGAAAAGTCGCTGCGCATGATGAGCCAGAAGTTTGTCATGCTCTTCCTGGTGTCGTGGTCAAGAGCCATCAGTCTGGACATGGCGGCACAGATCCTGATCTGTGACGGTAAACCCGACGACGGCCACAGCAAGAGCACCTTCAAAAGTGAGGCGGCTTACACGAACGACGCAATTTAGTATATCACGGGACCTTTTTGCCAGTATCAAAGTATTGAAAAAAACAAGGATAGGTTTTACTCTTTCTGGAAATAAAACAGTTGTGTTAAGATGTTTAAACATCAAATAGATACCTTCTGCAAGGAATCAAGTTTGCAATAGCCACACGTACTTTTGGTGAACATGCAAACAAACATGCTCTGATAATATTTGCATTGTCTTTGAAACTGATTGCCCTACACCGTAGACAGCTTTCTTTATGGTCTAGTCCTCACCGCCAGTGTCAGACCAGAGAATGCCAAAAAGGCGACCAGTACAAAGACAATGCACGTATCAGAGCATTGAGAGCTCCGGGTTTTTATATTTCGTTTTTATATTGGAAAATGTCCGAATGCAACCGCATCGCGTCTGCATGTAGCTGCGAATTGAAGGGGTGAAAGTATGTATGTAGAGCAGTATAAAACTATTTCAGGATATCTGCTTTAACACCATTACCTTTCGATCAAATTCACATTACTTGTTCATCATTTTCCACCAATGAGACACCAATTTGCTTAAGATATATATTTGACCAAAACTGTATAGAAAACCTCCTGAAGATTTCAACTGGTTTTACATTTTCCTTTCATAGAAACTTCACCTGACAAAGTTGACATAGCACACAGCACATTGTTTTCTGTCGTCTTGGAAATACCCAGACTGCTTTGTATGTATGTTGAACTTCTTTCACACCGCACGTAGCCAACCGTGCTAATCGTAGGTGCGGAGGCATATTTATACACGAGGCATGTTTGTCTGGACTTGCTAATAATTTTCTCTATTTTGCACTCTTATAGTTTATTTTGTGTTATTTGTTGTTGCAACTTGCTGACCCGCCCATACTGGAGAAAGATCTTCATAACTCATCGGATTCCTCCTCCAGTCCATACAAAGAATTCTGATTCTGATATTAGAGGTGGAAATTGTGATCACATACGTGTAACAATTAAGAGAAGAGGTTTGTCATAGACAGAGTAAAAGAGGGGAGGGAGGGAGGGAGCGGGGGGAATCGTGAGCCTTTCGTGGGAGGTCGGGAGCACAGATGTCTGGGGGGAAAACGGAGCTCCAGACTTTGAGGGCAGCAATGGAAGAGTGTGACCTCCCACTCGGCGAATGTTGACCGGGCCATTTTGACAGTAGAGAGCACGTGAGGGGGAGTGGAATTTCACCGTTATTCACACCACAAAGTTGTGGTATGTGCCCTATGCGAATATAAAAGTACCTTTAAAAGTTATCCTCCATGGCTGGAGGTCAGCATTGCATTGTGAACGTATACACAACCACATTACAGTGCATTATTAATAATGGTAGCTCTTTCACGATGTTTGTTCACTGCGTAAGTGTGGGTTAAAATACCCTCTAGGGCGGTTCTCTATTGCTCCCTCTGTCGGAGACCCTTCCGTCAGCAGTGGTGCGAGTAAGAATTTGCAAGGCTGCACCTTTACCTTTGTATACTTTCAAAGCGTGTTGTTTAATTAAAACGATATGGGAGCGCTACTCGCAACAGTATTTTCGATTCACATTCAATTGCCCCAGACAGCCTCCTCACACACACAAACACATGCCCACTGCGCTCATACCCACAGCCAAGGTGCGGCGCTTGTACGACATCGCCAACGTGCTCAGCAGCCTGGGCCTCATCCGAAAGGTGCGACTGACGGACGGGGGAGGACGCAAGCCAGCCTTCCAGTGGATTGGAGTCGGCGGATCCGGAAATCTAGACGGTGAGAGAAGCTGACATCACCTTCAACTTCGTTAGCGAGATGGAAATGAGGGCAAAAAACTAAGTTCAAACTTTACTAGACTTTCTATGTGTGTTGAAGTTCTTTCGCACCGTGCGTAAACAACCGTGCTAATCAGAGGTGCAGGGGATGGCGGTGACTTTGGTGCCCTTCCATTGCACAGAAAACCGTGTGGGGAACAATTCGTTGGTGGCGCACCCGCTCCATCCGCACCAAACCGCGGGGGCGTCGACGGCCGCGAGTGCGGACGAGCCGTGGCGGGGGAAGCCGCCGCTGCGTTCAAGCCCTCCCGACAGCCCGGAGAGACCGGGGACGTCGCCTCCTCGCTCCCCCGTCCCGTCGCCGCGGAAGTGCCGACGGACCGGCACCAAAGGGCAGCCGCAGCCTTCCCCGGTCAGCCCGCAGTGCGAGCTGCCCACAGCCGAGCCGTGCCCTGGCGTTCCAGTGCCGCCCGCGGCAGCTGCGTCGCCTGTCAGCACGGACGAAGAGGAACAAGATGGTGATGATGCCGACGATGATGCCGACGACGACGACGATGATGAGTCGCGACACGCGGAGGAGAATGGGTATGCTGCACTGAATGGTTGCTTGAAAACCAATGCCACGCTTCCACGGCCATTAGAAATGAGACCCAAGCCGTGCCGTGGTGTTCTTAGGACCACCCAGAATTCGTTGTTTCTTGTCCTAATGCACGACTCTATCCAGGGTCAGAGAGGGAAAAGATGAAAAGAGTGTTCACAAGTTTTTTTTTAACGAGGTTTAACACTTGCCTGTGTCGCCATGGTTTTTTCCAAAGATATAACATTTTACGTGTGTAATCTTTCGCAGTGTTTTTTTTTATTTCGATAAAAACACGGTCTTGAAGGCGACCCAAGCGAATTAGGTTAAGCGAGAGATGCCACTGAGCACACACATCTCTCCTAAATTGACCCTTCACAATTCTGGCAAAATTGCCCGATGATGCTGGATGTAATTACCAGCGAAACGTCGTACTCAAATTGTAAATGTCGTGGTTTAACTCTCCAACACACCGGTGGGCTGAAGTAGTAACCACTTGGCAGGTTTCGTTTACGTGACAAACCTTACTGGTTGGCCGTGTTGGGCGGTAGTGGGTTAACGACACATTTATACTTACGCGATCTAGATTTGAAGCTTTCGTGACTGCAAGGATTCATATTCTTAGGTTTTTTCGGTAAAGTCACGTAGGTAAAACATTTAAATGAATTAAAGTAAAATAAAAATAAAATAAAAATCACGATGTTTCGGAGGCAACACAAGCTTCCGTCTTCAGGTGGAACAGTCACAGCACGATAGCTGTATCAAGTTAATTTTAATTTTTACCTACGTGACTTTACCGAAAAAACCTAAGAATATTACGCAATCTAACCCAAATTGTATTTATTGTGGATGTCATGACCATTTCCGAGGCTGGTCTTTGTGAGATAGCAGCGCTCCCTTTGCAAAGTGATCTTCTTAGCTCAGTAAAAACGAGCCATGAAGCTCGTGTAGAGCTTACACGGCCCAGTGCGGCTGCCATGGGATTCCAGGGCGAGCCCACGTGCCCAGTTTGCAAGCTTAGCCGCCGAGTTATTCAGTGGCTGCGGCAACGAGGCATCAGGCCAAGACATTTTCACGAGCATTCTCATTGAAGATTTTCTTAAATTCTTCAGTCGATATTTGAAAAAAAATGCAGAATTTCTGCCGTTATCCAATTAGGCGGTACAGTGTATAAGAATAGGTTTTACGCTTTTTGGCAATAAAACAGTTGTGTTAAGATGTTCAAACACAAAACAGAAACCTTTTGCAAGGAATCAAGTCTGAATTAACCACGCAAACAAAAACATGGTCTGGTAATATATGCATTGTCTTTGAAAGTTATTGGCGTTCTCTGGTATAACACTGGTTGAGACTAGGCCCCAAAGAAGGCTATCTCTGGTCTGCTTCTACTCCATTTACTTTATTTTAAAGTCAAAATGACAGTACAATGTGTTTCAAGAATGGAAGTGCAGATAATTACATTAATTAACAGTTCCACATAATTAATACCCAATGAAAACACAGTGTAGTTTTATTTCCTAGCGCTAAGTTAAAGCAACCGTGTCTGTGTGTGTGTGTGTCTCTCATTGTCGACAGGCATTACCGGTGCTCCATTAGCAAGAGACAGTGGGCTGCAATGCTTGGCTTGCAAGAGGTCCCGCCCCAGGGCACTCCAAACGCCAGCAAGAGATTGAAACGCCTCCCAAGGGCCCGCCACCCAGCTGAATACAGCACAGAGGTGTCCTTACAAGGCAGGAGGTTGCTCAGAATGGCCAGAGGAAAGACCGGTGCCCCCACACGCCGCCATGAAAGGACTGACATGTTCTCAAAAGTGAGTGCCCTTCAAACTAGTTTTCAAATGACCGTGGCTGAGCACTGGCTCAAAACGGCCAAAACTCCAAGTGACGCCACATCACGATGAACATTGTAAAATGTGAGCGTTAATAACGTTTTTGAAGTCAGAGTTTTTTTGTGGGAGTCCAGTTTACCACGGAAGTCAAGTTTACCATGGGAGTCCAGTTTACCATGGGAGTCCAGTTTACCACGGGAGTCCAGTTTACCATGGGAGTCCAGTTTACCACGGGAGTCCAGTTTACCATGGGAGTCCAGTTTACCACGGGAGTCCAGTTCACCACGGGAGTCCAGTTTACCATGGGAGTCCAGTTTACCATGGGAGTCCAGTTTACCATGGGAGTCCAGTTTACCATGGGAGTCCAGTTCACCATGGGAGTCCAGTTCACCATGGGCAGGAGTCAGCAACCTGTGGCTCCAGAGCAGCATGCGGCTCTTTAAGGACTGCTTTGTGAAGTTATTTATTCAGGACCACCATCTCGTATTCACCACATGCATTGTGGCTCGTGAAATATTGAGGGTTTTTTTACCGACTTAGAAAAAATGCCTCTTCTTGTTATTTTAGTTTCCGACCCCTGTGCTAGATTATGTCCCCCACGTAGGCTTAGGACTCGACTTTAAAACGTGTCACTGTCAAACTGACCATTTTATATTAGCTGCCATTATAAAAAAGCCACATGCTCCATTGTTTCATGTGAAAACCTAAACTTTCCAAAATATTCGCAAAATTGTACTCATATAGCATCTAAATACAGCTGCATCTCAAGATGCTGTTCGATAATATATCAATAACTTGGAGTAATAAACGTAAATAATAATCTGTACTAAAGTATGTACGCGACTCGAATTCAGCGTACTCAGATGAGAAATGTCGCCTCAATTTCCCACGTCTGCGGGGATGAGCGAGAAATAACGATGAATTGTTCTGCAGAGACACTCAGCGACTGAAAAGAAACCCCAAAAGACGAGGACTTCACTCAAATCCAAACAAAAGCCTCTGCCCGACCCTGCTCGTGATGGACTAACAACCGGGACGTGCGGGCAGCTTCAAGAGGCATCTGACGGAACTCGCAGCATAACCAGCTCCGCCGATGAAGGGGAACACAACAAGAAGGACGCTGCAGGCTCGGAGGCCAAGAACGATTGCCAGGAATCCCCAAACAAACACTTTCCAAGAGGCATCCCGATGTTTTGTCCAGCGTTCTTCAGCAATGGTGTTTCAGAGGTAATCACGATGCAGTGTACATTATTCAAAAATTCACTCTTATCCGCTCAATTTTTTATCAAGTAAATCTATATCCGTTCACAGCGATTTCAAACAATCGTACGGAGAATGATGATGAAGGCAGTGCGGGAGAGTTGTTTGATCATACTTTACCGTGCTGGTCAACGCGGGTTGGTGAAGGGTGCAGAGCCCAGGACCTGTTCAGGTATCACTTGCCACTGATTCGATTCATAATTCGGTGCCAGCAAGGGCTTCGTGGTCATTGCGTTGTCCCCCGTATGCGTACAGCTCACCGGTGCGTTACATTTATCACCGATTATGCCAATTCACTGTGGTCAGGAATCAAACTAAGGTCAACCAGGCTCATAGCAAAGTCTACGAAACACTGTTGCACCCCAATCACATATATGTCCTGTATTGTTTCATCTGCAACATTCTTACTCGCTTCATTGCTACGTCCTTCGTATAGCAATTATCACCTTAAGCACATTAGGGAATAGCACCGCGTAAGGGATGTGAAGAGTCTGAAATTCAAATGTGACCAACATTGTCAGTTTTTCATGTTCTAGTGAAGATTGAACTGGCCTAGATGTGCAGCAGTAGATTGCACAGCTCCACATTTAGACATATGCGCTTAGAGTATTTGGCTACTATAACATTACCACGTGATAAGCCACTTCGTTGAGCTATCGTTTGTGGCCAGGTCGCTTCTGAAAAAAGAGCTACATAGCTCAGTGGGCCTTACCTGGTAAGGTAAAACATAGTTTTAGTTCAGTTTATCTTATCGCTCCAAGTTCAAATCCCAGTTGAGGGTTGATTTAGCCTTTCATCTTTCAGGGGTGGACAAAACGAGTTCCTCTTTGTGTGGACGCCTACAGTAGGATGTCCTATGGGATGCCTCACTCTCCCCGATAGGAATGTGGAATTTCCACCGCTGGGATGTAAACAGGAGACGAGCAATGGTCCACGCTCGCCTGATATACAGGAGGTTGTGGGTTCGATCCCTACCCTGACGCCTGCATTTTTGGAGTTTGCCAGTTCTCCCCATGGTCGCGTGGACTTTTCTTCGGGCCCTCCAGTTTTTCCCTTTACATTTAGAAACATGCATTTAGAGTATTTGACTGCTATACATTTACACATGATAAACCACTTCGTTGAGCTATCATTTGTGGCCAGGTCGCTTCTGAAAAAGATATAAAGCTTAAATGGCCTTACCTGGTAAAATAAAAAATAGTTTAGTTTTTAGAGTGGGATACCACTCTGATCTTTTTATACTAAAGATAGGAGGAATTACCACTTATGGTAACGTATTGCTCAGAGTAATAGTCAACACATTGGGTTGTCTCAAACTTTTCTAACTTTTTGTCGTTTTCTTACATTTTCTAGCCAATGATGCCATCCCTTTGCTGGATTCCTTTTGGCTGTGATCCAGCTGTGACGGGCTGGCCCAGTGGGGAACCAGCGATGCACCAGCAACGATCGCAACACACAGCAGGTGGGAATGCCACGAGCTGTCAGCACTGCGATGCACCCACCACGCACATACCTCGCGACCCAAAGAACGTTCCGTGCAAACAAATACGATAGTTCTCTTGCAAATGAAAGCAGCCGTACCAGTAAACTTGATGTGTCTTTTAAAAATAGTCGGGTGGGAACTTGCGCACGTTTGATACGTGGCAGGTTTATTCTTTTGGTGGTGGATGTTGCCGGCATTGACCTCTCAGGGCACTTGTTGTTGGGGGATAATTTTAGAACTTTCGTTCACCTGCTTTAAAACGTTACATCGGTGTTGGCCGAAAACATATTTAAAAGACCTTTCCCACCGGTAATTGTTTGGCATATTGCAGTTGATGCATCGATTCATCAACTGAAATCATTTCTTAAGCTCACGACACATGCGTCAAATCATGTGCGTGAGAGTAAATTATTTACGTACTAGGCAAATAGTATGTGAATTATAAATTGAATGTTATATTTAGGATAAAACTGCAAACAAGACAGGAAAAAACGATTAACAATTCCAATTGGGACAGTAAAAACAAACATAAAATAATCAACTCTTGAATAAACTCATGACCCTGGATCATGACAGTTCATAAAATTGCTTGTGGGATAAAACTGGACATACCTAACAAATATCATCAGCGTTGCTCGATCAACTGCTGGATGAAGGCCTTCCCAGTCCGTCGCCATCTTTCACGATCCTGCGCTGTAGCAATCCAACCTATCACCTGTACACGAGTTGATTTCATCCCACGGTGGATGTCCTCTGGGCACATTCCTTGCCATGGTTATTTTTCATTGTGCGCCATCATCCCTTCTAGCGACGGATGACGGCTGATAGTCAAGGATCATTCTATGTACGTCCGTATATATGTATGTTGAACTACTTTCGCACAACGTGTACGTAGCCAACCGTGCTAATCAGAGGTGCGGGAAAGGACAACTAAACACTTAAAGCACTTTTAGAGAAATTAGTTTTCAATATGAATTTAAAAGTACAGAGCTTGAGTAGCTTCGTAATATCGGAAAGAATAGCATTCCAGACGGCCGCAGAAGCGCATCTGAAAGCGCGTGACGCTGTGACCATCTTTGTTCGATGGTTAGCCAAAAGCCGCTGCGATGATGACCGGAGTTTTTCGTGATGGTTTATGCTCCATGACAAAAACATCTCTTTGAAACGTCCCTTTATAAAGTGTGCGTGCGCGTGTTTCAGTAAATTTGTAATGACTGTAATCATTTGGACTGTAGCTGATTAAATGTACTGATTTGCTTTTGCAGGAAACACCCCTACGTGCACAAGCTCAGGTTCTATACCAGCGCCCTACCTCGTGCCCCTGCCCATGCAGGGCTTCCCCGCGTGCATGGTACCACCTGGCTTCTTCACGCTTGGCACTGCCCCCCAGGGTCTCGGTGGCGGAGCAGAGGGCCCCTTCTGTGGCATTCCATGGCCCAACATGGGGATGTTGCCGGGAACAGGAATGCCCTTTCACATGGGCCCTGTAGCCTGGCTTCCTGGGTGCGATTCGCACTGAACAAGAAGCACTTCTCTCTTAGATTCTTATTTTTATGTCATGGAGAATACATGTGTTTATTTATTTTTTACAAATGTACATATGTAGGAGGACAAAGCGAATTTTACCTGTGTTTACTTACATCAAAGGTGCCTAAAATTAGTATTTTACTTTGAATTATCACAGCAAGGGAATGCCCTGCACATGGGACCTGAAGCATGGCTTACAGGGTGAGATTTACAGAAATCAATACATTCTTTCTTAGATTATTATTTTATGGTGATGAAAAATAGTGATGTTTTTATTGCGTATGTATGTTTTACACATGTACAGATGAAGATGGAAAAATAAATGTATGTAAGTTTACTCTTATCAAAGGTGCCTAAAATTAGTATTTTACTTTAAAGGAGGGGGGCTGGTGGTAGTTTTCAAGAATTCCCATATCAACATATCATAAAAGTGGAAGTTTTTAATTAATTATACATTGCTGAAATAATATTTAAATGCCTTCGTTAACAAAAAATATCGTGAAAAAAATTTCAATCCAATTACGTATATAGCCTCATACAGAAGGCCTTGTGAGCAGTTTAGTCTCTAGAACAAATGATCATTGTGTTTGTTGTTGTTTAACTTCGCTTGAGTACAAGCCATGGAGTAGTGGTGCAGTCGTTAGCGCAGTGAGCTATGAATTTGGTGACCTGAGTTTGATGACCGCTCAAGGCAATCATCAGTGGCTAGTGATATATGAACCAATTCTGGTAATATCTCTCATTCACCGACCCAAAATGGACAATGTGGTGAGGCATGGTCGAACAACCTCCACGATTGAAAGATGTGAGAAGGCCTACATAAGTTAATTAACAAAGTGCTATGACTGATTAATTAGACAATGATTGCAAGCCATACCTTAATAGAGTATATATTTTTTTACAAAACTCTATATGTATAGTTACTTAAATCATATTAACCCTCCACTTACACTAACAAAAATGTGATTACCAATTATATGCAGTGTATGCGTGCTGTTTTGTGTTACGCATGGGCACATTTACTCTAATTTAGAAATACGACCTGGCGTTTGCTCCGTGTCTGTTTATAACTTGTCTAATGTATTTGCTGGAATCGTGTATATCATATTCATGAACGTTACCTTTGTATCATTTTAATAAACTATTTATTTTAAAACGTCTGGACTGCAGTACTGGGTTGATAGATTACAGTGTAACATTTTTTTTTGTTCCTGGGTAGTAAGTGTTGTGTCCTAATTGCTTAGGCCTCAAAAGTACAGAACATGTCTATTAATACCCACAAACTTTGCTTTTGTGACCAGGACAGTGATATTTTGGAATTTACTTATTTTCAATGAGAAAACTGGCGAATTTGTGTCTTTTCGTTCACATAAAGTCAGAAAAAACATGAATCAAAATTAACATGTATTTATACTCAAGTAATACAAAAATTACTACAAAAGATTTAGACACAAAGCCACACTGCCACAGGCGGACCGAGTACTCTGTGGGGAGGAACAACGTCAAGTTGGAGCCACTGGTGGACCCCCGGAAGGTGCTGATGCCACCACTGCACATCAAATTGGACATTATGAAACAATTTGTCACAGCTGTAGATAAGGAGTCGGCAGCCTTCAAGTACCTTCAAGACTTCTTCCCTAAGCTGTCTGAGGCAAAGATCAAACCCGGTGTCTTCGTCGGACCACAAATAAAGAAGATCCTGGAGTGCAATGAATTCCCCAAGAAGCTCACAAGTAAGCGGCTTGGAACAGCTTTGTCGCAGTGGTTCGTGGCTTCCTTTCACAAGATCGAAAACTATGTGGAGCTGGTTGAGACTCTGGTGAAGAACTACGGCACAATGGGCTGTAGGATATCCCTCAATGTCCATATCCTTGATGCTCATCTTGATAAATTCAAGGAGAACATGGGAGTGTACTCGGAGGAGCCGTTACCTAGGACAGTATAACGAGAACATGATGGGAGACTACATTTGGGGGCTGATTCGTGAAAGTGATTTACAGTATAATCGTAAATATCTAAAAACTACTCACTTCTAAATCTTTTGTAATAATTTTTATATTATTTTAGTATAAATACATGTACATTTTCATTCATATCTTTTTTTCTGCCGTTATGTGAACGAAAAGACAGATTCTCCCGTTTTCTCATTGAAAATAGGTATTTTTTTAAATATCACCGTCCTGGTCACAAAAACAAAGTTTGTGGGGAATAATAGCCATTTTCTATACTTTTTAGGCATAAGCAATTACGAAATAACACTTACTGCCCAGGAACAAAAATTGTGTTAAATCGCGTTATGGTTGTGATGTCTTTGTGTGGCCAGGAGAGGGCAGTGGTGAACGATTTGCCGTGAAGCCATCGAGTCGACATTGGCCGCGTGAATATTAATCCACTCGGTTACTTTGACTCCAAAATTAATTATGGGTTTCCAAAGTTATGTTTGGCACTAATTTATATATTTTTTTGAAAAAAAATAACCAACGTTGAAAAAAAATATTTCTAGAAGTTAAAAGGCATGACTTTAAATAAATAAAATTCAACCATAGTATTCAAAATAATTTCCAGCACTTTGTCAATCCACTACTGAATGATCGGCCCACTCATGGCATCTTTCTCTTGGGGTTTGTTTGACCATACCTGACCATGCTGGTCTATTATGTCCCTACAGATTATGAGTAATAAAATTACAATTAGGCAAAAAACTATTATACCACCAACAGCATTTGCTTAATGAAGCAAACCATGCTGACGATGCTCTGAAAGTCATAACTGGTCCATAGTTTGTTTTAAAAAATGCTGATTGAAAACATTGGACACAGAAGAGCCATAGGTTAATGGATCTAAACACTTTCATGTTTTGGTGCTTTAGCAGAACTGATCCTGATGTTACACGTGGCTTTAGCGTGTAACACATTTTTCTATATTATTTGAACACAAGCAGTGTTCAATTGCTGTTTATAATGTTACCATCAGCCATGATCTACCCACCGCTGGATGAAGAAGGCCTCTCCCTACATCATTGCATATACCCTCAAGGTTTTTGTGATGGCATAATCCGTCTCGCTCCTTCGCATCAGGGATCTCACGGCTCCATCTCGGTGGTGGTCGTCCGGTCAGGTGAGTTCACTCCTTAGGCTGCTGCTCCATCACTGGCCTCTAAGTCCATCGGCCATCATCCCTTCTAACCGTCATGTCCTGCCCCATCTCACATTCATTAACTGTCATTATAATCGACTGGACATGTGTGAAAAAGAGCCCTATAGCTCATCGGGTTCCTCCAGTATAAATTAAATAAATAAACAGAATGTGATAATGAGAAAACACGTGGAACAGAGAACAAATGCAAATTAGAGACATACTTGTGAGTTATAGCTGCCAATTATTTACAGAAACATTTTCATCTCCATCGCATTGTTCTGCAGTTTTCTCCCCAGATTTCAATTGTTTAAGTAATATTGTGGATGGAGCAATGGCGCAGTGATGAGCGCACTGTGCTTCGAACACGGTGATGTGAGTTCGATTCCTAGCCACGACGAACATGAGTAGCGAGTGATATTTTATCCGGTCCTGGGCTCCACACCTCTTTCACCAAACTACACTGACCAGTGTGGTGAAATATGGCCAAGCAGCTCTCGTGACCAACGGATTGACACGGGGTTCTCATCATATTTCTTGAAGCATAAAATTACGTAAGACATGCAGTGTGGAAAATAATATCTAAAATACAAAGAACATAGGCCTTTATATTTTCAAATACACATACAAGTGTACGTGTGCGCGTGTTGATGTATACGTGTACGCTGATGTAAAAATTCAGCATCATAAAGTATTAGCAATGGCTTTTGCCTGTTAGTCTACGTTTTATGGATCACCATGAATTTTTAAAGAGCCCTTTTTTCTTTTCTGTATTCTTCCACTAATTAATCAGCAGTCTTGACCGTCTCTGACTTTTATTACCAAAGCTCAATGCGGGGCTATGGAGCGTGATTAGCGAGCATTCAAATTAGAATCAGAATCTATATTGAATAATTAGAGGTTTTACCTTTTCTGGCAATAAAACATGCGTTAAGATGTAGAAAACCTATTCTTGTTTTTCATACTTTGATACTGGCAAAAAAGTCCCATGATATACAATCTATAACACTGGTCAACACACTTTTTTTGGCATAAGGTATTCCAACGGTTCTAATGTAATTTTGGGGTGCTGATTCCAAATCTGGCATCAGTTTTTGTCTATCACATCAGGTTTTTGAGATATCAAATATTGCATTTTCAATTAAAACTGCAGATGAAAAATATTAAATAAATGTCGATATCTACATAAAATTATATTATAAACACACTATCCTAAAAATACAGCACCGTAATTTAACACTAAGGCAGTCACTGACTCTCAACAACTTGCAATCATAAGTGGCAGAGTTAATTTCGGGTAAAATCAATGAAAATGGGGTATGACGATAGCATAAAAATGAGATGTGATAGAGCAAATCTGAGATCAGATTTGGAATCAGCACCCTGAAATTAGTCTAAAACAGCTGCAAAAGTCCAGACAAGAATTTTTTTTTTTACCAGTGTAATTTATCCTGGAGAAATCCGATGAGCTATGAAGCTTTCTTCAACAGATGTCCAGTAATAAAAAGACACTGTAACTTACATTCTACTCATATAGGACCAGCTGGAGGGCCTTTGCGATGTGTTGTGCTAGATAATGTGCCCCCTCCCGCCCCCCACTGCTTCCCTTGGCACAGAGTAGCACCCCTAATGAACATGGATTTTTCAATATGTTAGTAATACCTGGCAAAGTGATGGGACTCATTAATAATAAACGCATGACCAGACTATATTGCCCTGCTGCAGTGTGTTTTTAGCCGAGCAATTTTTGTTATTCTTTTAATACATTCAAATTCTAATAACTGCAATCAATTTAAAAGGGTAAAACCCTGTGCATGGGCCCCAGTGCCCTGCTTCTAAGGCCCTCTGTTGAATTCTCCCGGCTCCTTTTCTCAGATGGGGGGAACGCGATGGAGAACACGATATGAATATTTGATTATAACCCAAACAAACCTGAAGATATGTGATGGGCCCTTGCCTCCGTGTCTTTAACACATTAATTGATCAAATTAGATCACTACACACCCACAGTAGCATGCGAAGAAACAGGAAGCTATCTCTACCCTACAGAAGATTAAGTGGAATTTTAAAATATCCACTCCAACCACTGGGTAGGCAATCTATGTACCGAATTGCGTGGAATGCACCTGGTCCCATCAGATTCAGGAAGCTAAGCAGTGTTGAATCAGGCTAATGCTTGGAAAGGCGACCGACCGCCACTTTGTGGACAGCAGAAGGCAGAATAATACGTCGCATTTATCAACCTGAGTGGTGAAGTATAATCAAGTGACGCCAACCACCTCGCAACGGCGTTGCGGAAGCGATCATTCGGCAGTGGATTGGCCACCAAAGCCCTTGCGGGCATCAAACTACGAATGGAATATTAACGCCCCACCTGCAGCCCATGCAATATCTCTCGATCAACATTGACAACATCGTCCGCCTAACGTATTCATGCATTTCCATTGAGATTACAATTTTGTTGGAAAAACATTACCGTAGTCCCCAGATACTTAGACACTCCGGAAAGTAAGATGAACAACAGCTCTTGTGCCCGGTGTTCAACAAACGTGTAGGAAGCTGATCACACAAACACCTCCCAGACTATGAAACACACGCCAAGCTTTTGCTTTGAAATGCTGCGGAAAATAACGTACAAAAAATACAAAGACAAAGATCCCCCGTATAGCCTAAACAGACTTGGGGAAAGTGCCGTTAGCGAGTAGCACCTATGAAGGCCGGAACAGCACACAAGGCGGTGGGTGGCCAGCACCACGCCCAGCCGCCTTTGTATTCATCGTGGCGATGTTTTACACACCGCACCAGATATTCGTTTGAGGTTGAGTCGGCATAGGGGAAGCCCAGGACAGGGTTCAGAAAATCGTCAGTGGTGTTGGCCGTGAGCGAGAATTGAACTCGGGTTCGCCAGATTCGTAGAGCAGCGCGCTTACCGCTACACGACTGCTCCCCGTAATGTAGAGTACAGTAAATGATACACCTACAGAACATGATTTGAATGTGATTTGGTGACTTTAAAGGCGCATTGCATTTTCAGGCTTGTCACAGTCCTTATGTGGTGTTTAATGTGCTTTGTGAGACAATTGCTGTATGCACAGACGTGTGAATTTTTTCCTTTTTTACAAATGAGCACCAATTAGTAAGTCTTCAAGTCTCGTTTTACAGGGGAGACCCGGGCTACAAGGATGAAGGACCTTGCAATTTCCTGCTTACGCCACTGCTGGCGGAAGGGTTTCCACTAGATGGAGCTGCTTTAGACAATCCCTGCCAAGAGTATTTGGCCTACTCTTCCACGCCGGTCCAAACGTCTTCAAGCACGTGGGAGTACACACACGTCACCCCATCAATAGATAAGCGAGAGTTTATGGATTTGTACTGCTGGGTGGAGAGAGAGGTGGGGAGGATTGAACAAACCCGATTTATTTTCAAGTGGCAGTCCAGTGCCGTGAACCATTACAGCCACGGTAGCATCCTGGGCTACAAAAATCTATTTAAAAAAAAACCAGCATAATCACGACAAAAAAATCCAATCAACCGCCAAAACAAACCCTTAAGTTGTTACGAGATATTCAGGTCAAATGTCTCCTCGTCGGCACCGTCATTAGCCGTGATCTCGCCACACGAATCTGATCACGCGACCCCCAAGGAAACGCCATCGTCATCTCTCACGGAACACAATGCACAGCGCAACATTTGCAATGCAGAGCTAATAAATAATGACACGAGACAACAACAATGACAACAACAACACGAGACAACAACAACAACACCACGAAGAAGCGATACGCCAGCGCACCGGGAATGTACCGCGTAGAGCAAAGACAAAGATCCCCCGTATAGACTGCACAGACTGTTGGGGCAAGTGCTGTTAACGAGCACCTATGATGGCTGGCACGGCACACGAGGGGATGGGTGTGCCAACATCAGGCCCGGCCGCCTTTGTCTCCCCAGTGGTGATGTTTACGCCCTGCACCAGGGAACCTGTTTGAGGCTGAGTCGACCTAAGGGAAGCCCAGGACCGGTTCAGAAAATCGTCACCGGTGTTGGCCGTGAGTGGAAATCGAACTCGGGTCACGCCGGGTTCGTAGCGCTGCCCACACCTTGTAGACAAAGACAAAGATCCCCCGTGTAGCCTTAACAGACTGTAGGGGCAAGTGCTGTTAGCGAGCACCTATGAAGGCCGGCACGGCACACGAGGGGGTTAGGTGGCCAGCACCACGCCGGATCCGCCTTTGTCTCCCTAGTAGCGATGTTTACACACCGCACCAGGTACTCGCGTAGAGCCCACACACACGCACACAAGGAGATGTCCTCACAACGCGCGCATTCGTTAATTTGCGCTCTGCTGGTGCAGCAACAACAACAAAAATAAACAAAAACAACCACCAAACATCGTCGCAAGCAAGCGTCTAAAAATGGAAACGTTCAACAAATGATCACGCAGCTCCTCGTCAGATGTACCCTGCGGGGCTTATCGCGGTGTTCCAACGTGATTAGCGAGCATCCGGCACGGCGGGCGGTGGTGGAGTCTTATCTGGTGGAGAGGGGGATGATGTGTGTAGAAGGGGGGTGATGTGTGTAGAAGGATTATAGTGGAGGTGGCGGCGGTGTGGATGGAGCGGTGGCGCAGCGGTTAGCGCACTGCGCGATTCCCACTCGCGAACGATATCGATGACGGATATCTGAGCCGGTCGTGATGGCCTCCACTCGGTCGACTCAGCCTTAATTGAGTTACCCGTGTGCGATGTTTAAACATCGGCACCGGGGAGACAAAGGCGGACGGTCGTGGTGCGAGCCAGCGCGCTGTGCAAGCACACAAGGCTGGCTGCTATTCGCAAACGGCACTTGCCCCACCAATCCGTTAAAGGCTACACGGAGGGGATGGGAGGGCTGGTGGGGGATCTTTGGTGTGCAGGAGGGAATTCAGCATCTCGACTGCTTACTCCTTGTATGGGCTTGGAGCGTGGGCGGGTTGGTGGGGAGCCCGCACAGTGACGCACATTCTCCCACCCCGCAGGACACGAGTGGGGGTGGTGGTGGTGGTGTTGAGGGCTTCTCTCTCGCTCTCTGTGTCAGTGTGCATGTGTGCCGGTGCGTGCGTTGAGCTTTTTCTGAATGAGCCTGCGTCGATTGCACTCCACGAGCCAACCCTTTTGTTGGAGCTCCCCCCGCCTCCCCACCACCCCGAGCCGCATCGCGCAGCGCAACAGCCCCCCTCCGCCGAGCTGGAATCTATCGCATTACCGAAGTCATCCACTCACAACGACACGTCCTCTACGCCCGTCTCAGTAGAGTTTCACCTTAAGCTATAACACAGCTATATGGCTGCGCACGAACGCCTGGCGTGGCCCTGCCAATGTAAACAGTGAAGAGCAGATTTTGTTTTGCGAGCAGCTTTATTGGGGTTTTTGTGTTGTTGTGTTTGTTTGTTATTTCGTTTTCTAGCCAAGGCAGTGGCTGCCAAGCGCACCAGGTTCACAGTTGTTTAGCGGCTGCCCAAAGCTTCCTTAAACAGTCTTGAGCCACCATGGTGCTGGCCGCTGTGCTGCTGGGGTCAGTGCTGGGGACCGGCGCTGGACTGGCGGTGATCCTGGCCCTGTGCAAGTGTCTGTCGAGACCCAAGGACAACGATGACGACCCGACGCAGATCACCGTGACCTCGACCCTACCCGTGAGTAATGATCTCTGTCATCGTCGTCCTCGGAATCATCAGTCATGCTCAATCCACTGCTGGATGAAAAGTCTCCCCCCACCCACCCACCCACCCTCCAAGTCGTACCAATCTTTTTTGATAGGTGTAACGTATTCATTTCTCCGGAATATTTTGAAAAAATCACGCTATTGATCAATTCCCATTCATAACGTGAATGATCGTAATCGCCATTGTCATAATCACGAGCCATCTAACCATCCTCTGTTGGATAACAGGGTGCCCGAGCATTTGCCATCTCTTGCGACCCAGCGATAATATCTAGAGTACACAATCCACCGAGCACCCTGCATACAAAAGTCTGTTTTCATCGCTCCGTGGACTTTCGGTGGGCGAACTCCCAGACGCGTGCCATCCTCCCCCCCCCACTTGTCGGCACTTCGTCATTATTCTTGACCCAGTGGTCATCGACTCTTCTCGCAACGTCTCCCGCCCGAGTTTAACACGTAGGCTTTCGCGACCAATATTATTCATAATCAACGTTTTTGGGTTTAGATCGCGTTATTTATAAATGTGTCGTAACCCTCCACCACCCGACACGGCCAATCAGTAAAAAAGTGTCACGTTGACAAAAGACAAATTAGTTCACTGCTTTAGCCCACCGGTGTGTTGAAGCGTGAAACCACAACATTTACAATTTTGAGTACGACGTTTCGCTGGTAATTGCATCCAGCATCATCGGGCAATTCGCCCGCCCGAGTCCACCCGAATTAGCAGTTTGAACGATGTCGTTCACCTGCGGAGTCATCTGCGACCCACGTGTTCCTCTTACTTATCTCTCAATGTAATTCCCAAGCATGCATCTCGCCGTGCCTCGTTGCAACACTTCTCAGATGTTTCGTTACAATTTGATTGTGTTAATGACCATGGGTTTTCTTTATTTTTTGCTGATCCATATGCCACAGCGGGTTGTGTCCACTCTCAGAGACCTGCAAACAAAACTACAAAGATCTCTCTGTATAGCCTGAACAGACTGTTTGGGCAAGTGCTGTTAGCGAGCAGCACCTATGAAGGCCGGCACAGAACACGCGGCGGTGGGTGTTCAACACCACGCCCGGGCGCCTTTGTCTCCCTAGTGGCGATGTTTACACACCGCACCAGGTACTCGTTTGAGGTTGAGTAGACCTAGGGGAGGCCCAGGACCGGTTCAGATAATCGTCACCGGTGTTGGCCTGTGAGCGGGAATCGAACTCGAGTAGCCGGGTTTGTACCGCAGCGTAGCGCTAACCGCTACACCACCGCTCCCCACGGAGAACTGCAAACACAGAAACACACGCGGGGCACGCGACCGTCAGCATCGATGCCACAGGGGAGACGACATTGACCCCGCAGTACAGTAAAAATTAATAGACCTACTGCAATATCGCAATTCAAAAGTTACTGCTGGTCACATAGAGGCAATAAAAAAAGAGGGTATTACATTACACGTTCAGCATAAATAAGCGCGCCCTTGCCCAATAACATCTGGTAAGCCCCGCCTCCTGGAAATCTGTGAATAAAAAGCTTCATAGCTGATCGGATTCCTCCTAGGATAAATTAATATTCTGATTCTGAAGAAAAAATAATCTTATTCTGCCCTTGGTCTAGCAAGACTGACTCTGTGCCGATGATTCTCAGAAGATTTGCGAAACCCCTCCAGAGTTTGCGTGTTGAAAACAAATGATGCTGGTTGACAACACGAGTCTGGAAGGTCAGTTGGCCGACGGACCGAATAAGAGATATTCTCTTTTGGTGCGGTGACGCCAACGGAGGGAGAATCCATTATTTAATTATCTGTTGAGTATGGACTCTGCATGTCACGCTGTAAGCGTTCCAATTAATGCGTGAAAAATTATTCATTATTTTGCAGCCGCAATTAGAATGTTAATAACAAGATAAAGGTGCAGCAGTGCAGTTGCTTGTTTACGCCGCTGTTGGCGGATGGGCCTCCGCCAGAGGGCGCTTTATGGAGCCCCCCCCCCCCACCACCCCAATAAGGTATTCTGCCTACTCTTCCACACTGACCATACTTAGAGGAGTAGATGTGAGAAACCACATTTTACCCCACCACTCATGAGCTGCTGGTTGAATAACGGTGGGATACTCAAATGTACTGCTTGGTGATGGGGGCAAGGGGGGATTTGACACGTTAAAGGGATCGACTATTACAACATTAGCCGCTACATATTGCAATAGTCAATGTTGCCGGATGACACAAGTCTGAGATGCATCCAATCTTGATTTGAAGCTTTCGTGACTGCAGGAATCCATACTCTTTGGTTCTTTCGGTAAAGTCACGTAGGTGAAGTTACTGATGTTTCGCTAGGTATTTACAGGTTGAAAGTTAAGGGGAATATTAGCCACGTATAGTATGCATCGTCACGGATGAATTTCTTACTGAACATTTCCCGCATCGCTATCAGTTTAACCGCGTAGGTGTCAAAGCGACAAATAGCCACACGATGTATACTGGACGTGGTGAGCCGGGAGCGGAAATATTTTTTTTCCGGACCCGGTCGAAATTAAGCCCTGCCGTACGAGAGTACTTTAGGTATAAAGGCGCACATTTTCTAGCCAAACACTGCAGGCAATTTGTCGGAGCTTGATGCACTGCTGCGCTTGCTGGTGTACCCGTCAACAAGGCTTTACCGGAGGAGCGGCCAGGAACACGCCACACAGAGTTGTACAGATTAATTCGCCTGTGCCTTACCCACAATTAAAATTGGACAAGTTGGTTGTACGTACGTGCAGGTATGTTGAGCTTCTTTTGCACCGTACGTAGTCAACCCTGTTAATCGGTGGTTGGTAATGCTGCTGCTTCTTTGGCAGTGGTGCATGAGACATATATAATGTGCAACGTTTCGGGCAATACCTCTGTGCTATGATGAAGGGTCATTGCCGATGATATAATTGATATCGGCAGGCTCACCACTTGAAATGACAAGATGTGCGTTTTAATTTTCAGTTTATTCCAATTGAAGAGCAACTTGCTGACGTGGCTAATGCGCTGAATTACCAAGGCTGCTGTATCTGTGCGCACTGACTTTAATTATACACACGCCTTACAGGTAATTCAATAGAGAAGGGGACATAGAATAAGTATAACCAGTAAAAACAAAGTTTTTCACTATAAATCCTTTATATGCGTGGCGGCTAGAGTCCTCTCTTCCTCTGGCTTGAGATGGCTGCCACCTATGGGTCAGATGATTGTCTGCCAGTATTAAGAAATTGGTAATTTAATATTTAATTTGTTTTCCCTAAACAGTGTAAAATTTTGGAGAAAAAAAAATTTCACGAACATTAATTGTCTCGCACAACGAGTCTGTGTGCAAAATGTCAGCTCGATTGGATAACGGGAAGTGGGTTAAAAAACGACCGAAAGATTTGCACGGTCGTAAGCAAGCAAGCAAGCACGCAAGCAAGCAAGCGAACTTAATATAAAGCATTTAAAAAGTATTGCAAGTTCTCATACGACAGGCAAGGCGCCACAAACTAGCATTATTAATCAAGGTGGCAGCCCTGAAATGTCTCTACGAGCAAGCCACAAACAGCTCCCTCCACAGGGTATTTTGACCAACGCAGTGGCCAGACGTTGTGAAAGAACTACTATTGCACTACAATTTGGTTGTGCATATATTCACAATGCAATGCTGATCTCCGGCCACGGAGGCTAAGTTTTAAACGTACTTCTTATATAGTATTCACATAGGGCACATAACACGACGTCTGTGCCACGGGTAATGACGACATGTACGACCGAACCAAGGTATACACCGCATTCTCTGGATTAAAGAGACCGCCGGGAAAGTAAGACGCGACTTAAAACGTGTGCCCGGTGTTCAACACAGTGTGTACGAATCTGATCACAAATGTTAGGGGAGAAAAAAACGTGCGTCTTATAATCCAGATAATGTACAGTACAGTGTATGATACAGCTACATGAGTTGATGGCTTGCGAGGCGCATTGGATATTCAGGCTTGTCCTTGCGTGGTGTGTCATCATTTCCTTAATGTGCTTTGTGCGATAATAGCTGTGTGCACAGACGTGTGCATTTTTCCTTTTTACAAATGATCGCCGATGAGTAAGTCTACTTCGTATTACTACAAGTCTCGTTTATGGTACGTGCAATCAGGTTTACTGTTCACAACCAAATCCGGTAACCATGACCTGTAAGGTGAAATATGAGCTGCAAGTCCATCACACGCTGAGCGCTCGTGTGTGAAGTGTGGTTTGGGCAACACTCGCACGCGCGCTTTTCAGATGTGGACGCCTTTGTGTTAAATCAAGGGAATGGCTGGCTCGGAGTTTAGACAACAACAACAAAGGTGGCACATTGGGAAATTGACCTTCCATCGCAATTCCAGTGTCGCTTGTTCCTCGGTCACAAGAGACAGCTCATCTTGGAATTTGCGGGGTAGTTTTTGTTGTTCGCAGAGTTTCACCACGCATGTATGCGTGATTAAAAACATGCTGTTACCGTGGGTGGAAAGTAATATCTCCACTGCTATGCGAAGTTACTCGTTTCGGGGAAATATCGATTGCATCTAAATTACGTTTGCACGACTCAATATTGCACGCATCTAAGATGAAATGTACATCAATCATTCTCGTTATTTATTTAACGTAAAAACATTTGTGAAAAATCTGAAAAATAGTGCATGGCATACAACGGCCATCGAGAGCCGTCTCGTAGAAAATTGAAATAATTTCATGGTAGTGAATATAATATACACATTATCCATGTGTGATTGATAGCTCCCATTCAAAAGAAATCGAAGATATGTAGTCAGGACTTCCCTCGGCTTAGTTGTGATAACTTTTTGACCACAGAAATATTCGGTTTATACAGGAAATGAGATGCCGACACCTCCTGCTATATTTGTTATTAAAAAAGGCAGATAACAAGCCCTGTGCGAAAATGAAGTAAATTTAATGAATAAGTAATCACTTTAAATAAAATACACTATAGTAGTAATATCTATTTTAACCAACAAACCTTCGAAGTAAAATGCTTCGTCTAACAAGTAGGCTTTCGTGACCAATATTATACATAGATGTGTTTTCGGTTAGATCGCGTAAATATAAATGTGCCGTTAAACCCGCCACAACCCGACACAGCCAATTAGTAAGGTTTGTCATGTACACAAAACATGCCAATCCGTTACTAATTCAGCACATCGGTGTGTTGGAGAGTAAACCCACAATTCGGTTTATACAAGATCGCGTAAATATAAATGTGCCGTTAAACCCGCCACCACCCGACACAGCCAATTAGTAATGTTTGTCATGTACACAAAACATGCCAATCCGTTACTAATTCAGCACATCGGTGTGTTGGAGAGTAAACCCACAATTCGGTTTATACAAGATCGCGTAAATATAAATGTGCCGTTAAACCCGCCACCACGCGACACAGCCAATTAGTAAGGTTTGTCATGTACACAAAACATGCCAATCCGTTACTAATTCAGCACATCGGTGTGTTGGAGAGTAAACCCACAATTGCAACACACCGGTGTGCTGAACTCTATTATGGAAACATTTTTGTTTCTTTGCAAAAGGTGTTAAAACAGACACGGGTTGCGTTTGCATGCTTACCACGCAGGAGCGAGCCCACGCGATGCCTCGATATTGTCACCAGTGGTGAGTAGACGAACACTTGCAAAACAATTTTAAAAAATGGCCACGACGCACGTGCGAATTTAATTGATATGAATTATATTTGTGCAGTATTTTAGATACTTGTTTGATGTGACGGAGTTGTTTTTTTTTCTGACTTCTGTTCGCTTCATTGCTCACATTTTTAAAAAATTAGTTTTGCTTTTGTCATTTTGATAACTCCGTTTTACTATAGCATCTGTGACTAGCCTGGCCTCTGGAATTCTCACCTGGTTAAAGAAACTAAAACGCGAACCTTACATACATTTCTTCATCACCAAAATAGACTTCATTAATCGATTAAGAATTGACACAGTGTATATATAGTCTAACAAGACAAACGTGGTGATGGTATGCCTAGGCAGTGCGTTTTATGGGGTTCATTGCCATTTGGACTGAAGCCAGTAGTGAATAAGACCCTGTGTGCGTGTGCGTGCGTGTGCGTGTATGTGTGTGTGCGCGTGTGTGTGTGCGTGTGTGTGTATGCGTGTGTGTGCGCGTGTGTGTGTGTGCGTGTGTGTATGCGCGTGTGTGTGTGTGCGTGTGTGTGCACGTGTGTGTGTGTGTGTGCGCGTGTGTGTGCGTGTATGCGTGTGTGTGCTTGTGTGTGTGCTGTCCATTGCTGGTGGGGAGCGGTAGTGTAGCGGTTAGCGCGCTGCGTTCCAAACCCTACGATCCGAGTTCAATTCCCGCTCACGGCCAACACCAGTGACGATTATCTGAAACGGTCCTGGGTCTCCTCTAGGTCGACGCGGCCTCAAATGAGTACCTGGTGTGATGTGTAAACATCGCCACGAGGGAGACAAAGGCGGCCGGGCGTGGTGTTGTTGGCCACCCACCCCCTCGTGTGCCGTGCCGGCCTTTATTGGTACTTGCTAACCGCACTTGCCCCTACAGTCTGTTACAGTCTGTTACAGGCTATACGGGGGATCTTTGTCTTGGTTTTGTCTCCATTGCTGGAGAGCTGTAATGTAGTGGTTTATGTGCTGCGCTACGAACCCGGCGACCCCAATTCAATTCCCGCTCACGGCCACCAACACCAGGGACGATTATCTGAACCGGTCATAGGTCTCCCTAGGTCGACCCAGCCTCAAATGAGTACCTGGTATGATGTGTAAATATCACCACACACCCCCTCGTGTGCCGTGCCGGCTCACAGCACTTGCCCCAACAGTATGTTCAGGCTATACGGGTGATCTTTGTCTTTGCTCTCCATTGCTGTCACTCCGGGTACAGAATATGCCGATTGTTACGTGCATCATACCACTCGCAACAAGTCGCTCTTGTACAACGTTGCTCTCACCCCCGGCCTTCCTCGTCCTCCTCTCGTACTGGGCCAACGTGACACTCACATTGGGCTTGGCGACCTCTGATACCCAGACGTATATCATGGCAAGAAGATTCATACAATGCCCGAAGAGGGGTTAACTCCATGTAAACGCATTGTCCTCAGCGGCCCATTGTTATGCAACTGGACAACCCCCCCCCCATTCCCCCCTTGACTTGACTTTGAATGTCCCGGGAAAATTTACGAAAATTTACGAAAATTTACGCAATTCCCAGGACAGGTGGACACCCACCCGAGTTTCACTACCGTGCCGTACTTGCACGATCTCACTCTAATGAAACGTTTAAAATGACTAAATTAACCCACCCTCTGATCTTCGTGCCTGATAGGCTCACAGTGGTAATATCAGCAAGACCGAAACAGGAAGACTTTCTTCACAATTCTGGCAAATCGCCTGATGAAGCTGGTTGTGATCACCAGCGAAACGTCGTACTCAAACTGTAAATGTTGTGGGTTTACTCTCCAACACACCGGTGTGCTGAAGTAGTGACTAATTGGCACGTTTTGTTTACGTAACGAAACCTTACTAATCGGCTGCGTCGGGTGGTGGCGGATTGACGACACACCCAACAAACCCTCCCCCCCCCCTCTGTATTACGGAACTAACAATACGGCCTACAAGAGCGGGGCTCACGTGAAACATTCATCCCGACCATATCACGACGTCGCAAGGGGTCCGGACACACACGATGCCCCTCTCACAGCAGGCCGCACTCGCACCATGTCGATCCCGCAGCAGGTCGTGTTGGACCAGAAGCCTCCCGAGACGGTGCAGCCCCCGTCCGTGCCCAAGGAGCCGCTCGTGTGCTCACCGCGGGGGACGCTCACCGCGACCAAGCTGCTCACCCGGCACGAGTCGACCGCGGAGACCAACACCGCCGCCGCGGCCCCCCGCTGGGGGCCTCCCGAGACCTCCGACTTCTGCGGCGAGGCGGGCCCCGGTGCGTGCGGTGGCCGGGAGTCGCCGGCCGGCTCGCGGCAACGCAGCGCGGAGCGCGGAGACAGGAGGGTGGATAGCGTCGCGGGGAAGCTGCGCCAGGGTTCGTTTCCCATTGCGTCCGGCACCTAGATTTGTTTTCTTTAAGAATTTCGCTTTTGACATTTTCCCCGTCATTTTGCTCCCCCATCGTGTTATCGCCATCGCCATTATTGTCATGAGATGACATGTTCGTTTGGAGCCCTCGCACAGCAGTACAACTCCTGTGCTTGGAGAATGGCCCACGGAAGCAGGCTTCACAGAGCTACCTCCGAGCTTCCTTCAAGTGACCTCGGGCCCACACAGTAGGGGGCAGCACTTTCGCGCTGGCTCTGCACGAGAGTAATTTTTCGTGGTATTGAATCAAACTGATATTTTAATTATCGGAGCTGGATTTGAGTCAAAGTACAGAACCAAACATAATGTGACTTGTTAATTTAAAGTAAAATTGGTTTCCTGCTCAAGCAATAATGGGACAACACACATATCCAATTTATATCTTTGAGCCAATTTTGGAAATTCAACATTCTGGCACAAATCTACCAGCAGATTATAATCATAATTTACAATATTTCTCCAAAACAGCAACAAAAATGAGAATATAATTTGAGAATAGCCTGCATCCGCATTACAAAAAAACTCTAAAGAAAGATACATGTATGTTTAGACTAAAATTGGTCTTCCACAAACGTCAAAGACTGGTGGTGTAATTAAACACGTAACGTTAGGTCATGAAGTCTTAATGGCCAATGCCACTTATTCCACAAACACCCAACAATCACTTCCTTCAATAACCGACATTCAACATCTGCTCTCACCACTGTCTGGCTTGCGGTCTCGCCTTTGGTCACTGACTGCTGAGTGCTACTCCAATTGATTGCCTGTAACCCGCGTTCCTCCATCCGACACATGTATACCGTCCACCTGAAAGCCTCTTCCTGCACAATATACCTACAGATCGTTCCTGTCATGCTCTAGGCTGAACTTCTAAGTTGCTTGCCCCCTTCGCTCCCATGACATTTCTGGCATCCTCTGCATTCAGCCGTACTCAAAAGGCCAGGGGATTATTTTGTATTTATTTGCTTGTCGTTAAAAGTCCATCTCTCTGAGCCATGCAGCAATGCGGACACAGCTCCAACCTCTCACCGCAACGTTCTCTGCTCTCCCAAATTGGTGACACGTATAACATTGCTGTAATAAATAAAGCACGAAGAGCAACAAAAACAAGAACAACAACAAGAACAACAAGAACCTCCTACACGCTCACAAATGTAAAGCGACGAGTCAGCTGAAATCTCATTCAATGGCCAAATGAATTAGTGCCCTGTAATAAACACAAATTATTAGAGCACGGCGGTTAAAAAAAAATACAGGTCCCGCGTGCCGGCTGACGAGAGAAGTGAACTCGCGTGTGAGCTACACGTGAGTTACATAAGCACAGAGAAAGAGAGAGAGGTGGTGGAGGGGGGGGGGGGGGGAGACATTACTCACTGTGCACACGGTGGCCATCAAATATAGACAATTGCAATATATCGATCGTGAACTCCTTGCAGCGCTAACCCAGAACGGCGCATACCCTGAATGACAAACAGTATGTGTTGCACGTCAGTGATAGGTAAAGGTCAATGAAAAGAAAGCCTCCGCTAAACGGTGTGACGCACACGCGAACCGCTCCGCAGTGAATAAAGGATGATGCCATGACTGGCAGTGCTGTATATTTGTTAACCGTGGACCTGTTTTCCTTTCATAAGATGCATTATTTGTTTCTATTTCGTGTTCTACCCAATGAGGGAAGAGCTGAAAGTGTATTGTACGAGCACTGCCATGTGTGGTTTTTTTTTGCACTCTCATTCGATGTGCAGGGCAGGGAGTTGTGGCGCTGGGGTTTGCACGCACTGCACTGTGAACTTGGAGACCTGAGTTTGAGTTTCTCGTTATGGCCAACAGCAGTGGGTGGAGATCGATACCCAGCAAGGTGGAGTGTGGTCCAAAAACCATCATGGAGGGGAGGCCATCATCCTGCAGTGGAATGGAAAGCGTCTGTAGAAACGTTGTTAATATTATTTTTACGAGATGATCATCACGATGATATTGTGACCAAATGAACACGTGCTATGCTACTGGGCGGCTCAGGAGTGAGAGTGCTGCTGGGACTGGGTTCCATGACAATGTCTCCGAGGGCTTTTATCTTACGAAGTTGTGCCAGTAGCACAACTGCAATACAACAGCGAAAGAAAAAAATATTTTCAAGTAGGGCTTATATGGCCAGCCTGTGGTGACATATTGCCTACCACTCCGTAGGCTTTTGTAGTTGTGCTGTTCAGCTCTCTGATGCGTTTTCGGGTTGTACCTCGTGTTGTTTGGCATGGTGTTTGAAGCTTTCTTTCATGTGCTGGGGAACTTATTCGGGAACTGAAAGGTCGGACATCGTGCCGAACAATACGCAGTGCAACCAGAAAGCACATCGCAGAGCTCATTTGGCTTTACGTTAAGAACTATGAAACTATATTCTTTATCACCAGGTAAGGCCCACTGAGCTATATAGATCTTTTTCAGAAACGACCTGGCCACAAATGATAGCTCAACGAAGTGTTATATCACGTGGAAATGGATATCAGCAGCCAAATACTCTAAACGTATTTTCTAAATGTGGAGGGAAAAACCAGAGGACACAGAGTAAAATCTATGCTGCCATGGGAAGAACATGCAAAACTCCAAATATACAGCAGGTGACAGGGTCGAGATCGAACCTACGACCTCCTGTATACCTGGCGAGGGAGATAACATCTCCCCATCGTCACATAATACCATAGTACCTGCTCAAGCGGTTGTTTATTCGCTTGCTTTGTGTTTTTTCAGGGTCTTGCGACACTTCTGCGAGCGTGGCAGAGCAGCAGCCGCCAGGTGACAGCGAAGAGACAGAAGTGTGGAGGTCAAAGGGGAAGCTCCACTTCTCGCTGAAGTACACCGAGCACACGTGCGAATTGCGCGTCGTCATTATCGAAGGTGCGAGAACATTTTTGATCAACATCATCGTCATCACCATCCTACTCATTATTATCCTCAGCCGCAACGACAAACGTAACGAAGTACTACAAGCCAGTATGGGAATTGAGACCCAAAATACGATTTGTACTGATGATGGTGATGTTGGTAATGATGATGGACGACGTTAACACCAAAACACAATGCCATCCACTTTGTGTGATAATTAGACAGTCACTGCATCGCGTGCTTTCAAATGCGCTTCTGCGGCCGTCTGTGACACTCTTCCGATATTCAGAGGCCACTGGAGCTATGCCCTTTTAAATCTAAATTGAAAACGAATTTCTTTAGAACTGTTTTTGGTGTGTTAAGTTTGTTGTTGTCCTACCCTCGCACCTCTGATTAGCATGGTTGGCTATGTACGGTGCATAAGAAGTTCAACATACATACACAGAATGATCCTTGACTATCAGCCGTCAAACCTCGCTAGAAGGGATGATGGTGTACGATGAAAAATAATGATGGCAAGAATAATGGCAGCCGAGGACTGGAATGTGCTCAGAGGACATCCACCATGGGAAGAAATCAGCTCTTGTACACGTGTTAGGTGGATTGCCACATCGCAGGACCTTGCAAGATTGTGACAGATTGGTTCACCGTGTCTCGATATCAGTTAATGAATTATTGTACTTCATCTTTCTTTCTCTTTTTTAAATCCACAGCTTCGGGGATTCCAAAGACGGATAAGGCCGGCTTCTGCGACCCGTTCGTGGTCCTGAGCCTCTACACGAAGACCGTGTGCCAGAAGGGCGAGACGTCCGTCAAGCAGAAGACGGTGCACCCGGTCTGGAACGAGGCCTTCACCTTCAACCTCACCTGCGAGGAGCTGACCGACAGCACGCTCATCCTGTCCCTTTACGACTTCGACAAGTTCTCCCGCTGCAACTTCGTGGGCGACATCCGGCTGAAGCTCGCGGACGTGGACGTCCACTCGGGACGGAGCACCTCAGTGGACCTCAAGGCGTTAGAGCGAGTACGTTAGTGTGCGTGCGGTCGGTGGAGGGGGAGACGCCACGGTATTAACGCTTTCAAACTGAAGGTGTTCCGACCGAGGACGAGAATGCTCCGTGCATTAGCTCTGACCGTCCCGCACCTCCGATTTGGCACGGTTGGCAACGTGCGGCGCTAAAGAAGTTCAACATGCGTGCATGCGTACATCCATCCGTCCGCAATGGGGAGGGCACTGCGATTGAACATTCATTGTAAAGTCGTGTTGTCATTCAAGTACTCGCGCTATAGACCAGGGGTCGGCAACCTGCAGCTCCGTAGCCGCATGCGGCTCTTCGAGGACCGTTTCGTGACCGTTATTTAACCAGCACCACTGTCGCATATTCACCACGTTGCATTGCGGATTTTGTAATATTGAGTTTCTTTTTTCTCCCGAATTCGAAAATTGCTTCTTCTCATTACTTTGCCTGCCCGCCCCCTTGCTATAGACAATCGACCGAATTGATCAAGGGAGGGTTTGGCAACAACGCGGAGATGCAAACCAGCGCCAAATAGACCCCCGCCTTGGCATCCCGGCTCGCCAAGCTGAAAGGCACCCCACCCCGCCCCAGGCAGTGCTGCTTTCTGAGCCCCACGGGCTCATCGTGGCCCACGGATGTCCTACTGCCTGCGCACCTGGCTACCGTTATAACTGCTGATTAAACAAATCCTGGGCAAGTGCATGTCAGAGAGCGATTGCAGTTATGCGTGCATAGGCATGATTTTTTTCTCGTTCCTTGTTACTTTTAGGAAACAGATCCTCATGCGCGCGAAGTCCACTGCACATTCATCATTTGCGAGGCATATTGTGAGATGTAGCGTTCTAGCTTTGCCACAGGGGTGACACAAACTGTCCATCATCTGATTCATTTCACACGCGGCCTGAAACAACCTGCACGCTGACGGAGCTGACAAATGTTACCCCATTTAAGATCGACGCAAGCTCTGCGTGTACGCAGAAAGTAGAGCGTGTTGTATTGTTCATTCGGCTCGAGCGTCGCCAATTTGGTTTGCTCAGACGACGCGATTTGGTTTAACCCGTCTTGAAACCGTTCCCCCCCGCCCCCTCTCCTCACTCTTGCCTATTTCATCCGCCTTTAAAAAAGAGAGCGACGAACCGCAGCCACTCCACAGGCTAGTCCAGATGTCTTGCGGCCCCCAATTAATTGATCCCTGACATTTTTTGTTCCTTTGCATATTTATATTTGTTTCAAATTAAACCTTACTTAACAAAAAAAAAACATTACGTTTTTTGAGAATTAATTGGGGGCCACAAGCACCCTGTACATTGCTCGTGCATTGGTGACGGTTGATTGGTAGCTTCGTAAAGCGCAAGTGACAGAGTTATGGAGGGAATGATGGAAAATTTACCGGACATTTGGCTTTAGGCAGGGCCGTCCAGAGTGGTGGGGTCAAGGGGGCAACATTCCGTGGGCCTCACACAGAATAGAGCCCCAAAGTGGGCCTGGGCCTGATGCAGCAATCTATGCCGGGCCTCCAGCCCCTGGCCACCAAGTAACCTTGGGGCGGCCCTGCTTTCAGGACATTTTATTTTTAAACGCCAGGAGCATTGTATGTATGTATGTTGAACTTTTTTCGCACCGTACGTAGCCAACCGTGCTAATTGGAGATGCGGGGGAAGGACGACAAACTAAACGCAACCTAGCTGCTCTAAAGAAATTAGTTTTTAAAATCTAGATTTAAAAGTGCATAGCTCCAGTGGCTTCCTAATTTCGGGAGGAAGAACGTTCCAGACGGCGCCCAAAGCGCAGCTGAAAGCACGCGATGCGGTGACCATCTTCGTTCGATGGTTAGCCAAAATCCGCTGCTGTGAGGATGTTCGGAGTTTGCATGATGGTTTATGCTCCTTGACGATGACTCTATGCGATGCCACTTGGCTACTTAATAAAGCCGCTGGGACGGAAGACATCAGACGTAGTTGTCACAACTGTGACTGAAAAGCTGTCTCTGAACTTTTAAGACACAGCAGTTCATCCTCTCTCTACAAGGTGGTTCTAGAAAATGTGAAAGTAAAGTGAATTTAATGAAGATGTCCCTATTTTTTTAAAAGATATTCCTGTTACACAAACGTATTGTCCCATTGCTGCTGTAAATGCCCAAATTCCAGCGGTATAGAATTATTTCAGGATATCTGCTTTCACATCATTACCTTTCTATCAAATTCACATTACTTGTTAAAACTTCCACCAATGAGACACCCTTTTGCTAAGGAGCCACATTTTACCAAACTGTATATAAAACCTCCTGAAAATGTCCACTTGTTTGACACCGCCCCTCAACTTGTTGGACATTTTCCTTTGATAGAAACTTCATCTGACAAAGCTAGCACACAGCACATTGTTCTCTGTCATCTTGGAAATACCCAGACTGCTTTTTACGTGTGAATGTTGTCATTCTTTTATGATAATCTATAACAAAAGTGGAGATTCAACTTGAACGATCCTTGCATTTCTTATTTCAACGATTTTATAATAATACTTCATTTTATATCGCGTTATTCATGCTAATTGCGTCCCATAACGCTGTACATTAATTATATGCAAGAACTAAATCCTATATACAGCTACTTCCAATCAAACGAAAATACTACTACCAAGCTAAATAAAAAAATGGCACCAAAGCAAAAGGCACAAACAACGAAAAAGTCATCACAATGGAGAAATGAGTCCAGTAGGTCTACACACCCCAGACCATAATCCCAACTTCTCAACCAAGCCAGGAAACCTTAAACAGGAGCGGCAATTGAGTACCAACACGATTTTTTTTTAAATCAACAATTTCTATTATTCGCTGTTGTATATGCGTGCATCTCTCCGTGTCTCTCAAAAACCAGGACGGGGACATCAATGTGGGAGAGCTGCTGTTTGCGATCGGGTATCTGCCCACTGCCAACCGCTTGGTGGTGGTGCTGATGAAAGCGAGGAGCCTCAACTCTGGGAACTTGAAAGACTGCGCTGGTGGGTAGCACGCCTCACTTGGCCGCCCGCACCACGGCGCACGTGCCACGGTTAAGCGAATGCGCGAGGTGCCGGGGATTTACAACGGCTCCAGGTCAGCCCGGCCAGTCAGATTCACTTCAGGTTTCCTTTGCCAAATAAATTCACGCATCCTCCAGGGAGGACAGATTCTGGCCGGCAGCCCAGCAGTCGCCGGCACGTTCGCCGTTTCCTCTGCCTTCCGATTGAAACTCGAATTTATTAAATTTCGATTTAAAGCTTTCGTGTCTGCAGGGATTCATCTTCTTGGTTCTTTCGGTAAAGTCACGTAGAAGGGAAATAATAAAATAATAATAAAATAATTCAAATAAAACATAATAAAATAATTCTCACGACGTTTCGGCCACAACGCAAGCAGCCGTCCTCAGGTGAAGACCAGGTGAAGACCAGGTCTGTCGGGGAGACAGCGTCAAACGCTGGTCTTCACCTGAGGACGGCTGCTTGCGTTGTGGCCGAAACGTCGTGAGAATTATTTTATTATATTTTATTTTTATTATTTTATTATTTCCCTTCGACATCACTTTACTGAAAGAACCAAGAAGTCGAATTAATTAATCAACCTGCTCATGTCACCCGTAAGCACAAACCCCGAGTCCAAAATGCACTGCCTGCCTGAACTAGAGCCACCGCGCATCCCCAGTGAGGGCATCTCACCACCATCATCATTGACACTGCCATGTACCAGGAAAGTACTTAACGGGCTAACGTTTTGGCATTGCGATTTCCATGGTGGGGGGAGGGGGGGAAGAAAAACTAAATTGCACGAAGTCTTGCGATGCCGTTGCATGTACAGTTGTAGACGCTCTGTAAATCCACATTGTATTGTTCGTATGTACACGTACAAACCTCCTTTTGTCAATTCCCTTCTGGATGAGGGCCTCCCCCCCCTCCCCTGATCCCACACCATTCGGGTAATGGGGATTATTTTACCATACTTCACCACGCTGGTCTATACGGGTTTATGAAGGTGGGGACTATTAGACATCGGATTATACCAAAGTAGAAAAAACATTTTTTTTCCGGACTGCTCTCTTGACAATGTAGCTACCACAGAAGCCCACACCATGAGTTTTATTCATGTCGGTCACTGATCCAATCACTATCCAGGCTTAAACATGCTTAGCTTGTGAAATCTTGATCATAGGCATTGTTTATATATCTATTCAAAATTATAAACTGGTGGGCTTGGCTACTGATGACAGCTGTGGCCAGGAATTGAGCCCAGGTCACTGGGTTTATGGTGCTAACCACTGTGTCATCACTCCTCCTTAAATTACATTGTAAAAAAAAAAAATCAAGGTCATCGCTGCCTGGGCCAGATCCATTGCCTCAAATTTGTGGAATACATTCCACTTACGATGGACATGCTGTGTTCTCATCTTAAGTTTTTGTAAATTGTGCCACATCTGCTTCGGAACGCGCTCGCCCCTGGACTATAATAACACAGTGATCACAATATTGTACATAGTCAGTTTAACACGTAGGCTTTCGCGACCAATGTTATTCATAATCAACGTTTTTGGGTTTAGATCGCGTTTATTTATAAATGTGTCGTAACCCTCCACCACCCGACACAGCCAATCAGTACAATTTGTAAATGTTGTGGCTTCAACACACCGGTGGGCTAAAGCAGTGAACTATTTGTCTTTGTCAACGTGACACATTTTTACTGATTGGCTGTGTCGGGTGGTGGAGGGTTACGACACATTTATAAATAAACGCGATCTAAACCCAAAAACATTGATTATGAATTGTACATAGTCTCCATGCATAGCCTTTAATCATCTTCAAAGATAAAGATACATCTCAATCATAAAATCATAACGTTTTACAACCTGCGCTGAAGCAGTGGTCACTGTTCATCTTTCCGCACTGAAGAATTTTATCGCTGACATTGTACCTACCACATATGTACCTCATTGGTATGCATTACATCTTAGCCTCTCTTATGAGAGCACTTTCCAAAGTGAAATCGCGTGTGCCTTCGCAAAAACAGCGCCCTCTGAGCATTTTATTTTCGGCCGCGGGTTCAGGCATTGAGATTAATGCTACCTCAATTATCCAAATGAGTCACCCAGATTTTCGCAGAGCGGCACATTTGTAAGGTCATATAATGAATTACGATTTTTCCTAGAAAAGTGCATTAGAGCTCTTGCCCGGCGATTGAAACGGAGCCAGCGTGCCGACGACAAATCCCCCCTTGGCTCGCTCTCTCAATTTGGCATAACTAAAGTGCTGTCTGCAGTGCGAGAAGCCGGTGCGTCAAGAGCACCGACTCGAGTGTGTTCCGCTGGTCTGGGCGTGCTGGCTAGTGGATGTCAAGCTCGCACTGAGGTTTATTTTGGTGAATGATGTTACGAGTAGAGCAGGGCTCTCTCTCTCAGATTATTCAAGTAATCGATTACTCTACTGATCGAATAACGCGAAAATCGTTGGGGGGAAAAAAATAAAATCTCACCTCTGTTCTAAGATTTGCCGCTGGTTGGAGAGGTCATTGACAAGACCTGCTGAAGACAATGGCATCATTGGCTGCTGTGTCACGCTGGGCGTGGCTTATAGGGGTTTCCTGCCTTCAGGAGCGAAGATGTCGGGGTGGCAGCCATTTTTTGAAGCGCCTGAGTAACTGATCCCAAAAAAGTCGATTTGAATGTTTCTTGTTTAATCAATGGATTTTAATGACTAATTGTCCCAGCTCTAGTTGGAGCATAGCCATTATCGGTGATTCGATGCATTGATGTATCAATACCAACGATTAAGCTCAGGACACGTGATTTGAATCACGTGTGAAATACTACTTTTTCGATTTTTCTATGTTGTATGTAATGGACTCGCATCACCCCTGAAACCATCGAGAGGAACTACCGTTCACCACAATGTCGAAGCAAATGATCAGTTCTTGAATTCAATTTCCCTATTCGACCGTGACAATTCAAGGAATTGCCGGAGGGTTCCGTCCCGCATTTAAATTTAAAATAGAAAGCAAAACAATCGCCACCATCATCATTTACATTGCCTATTGTGACAAGTCTACAGCTGGCTGAGATTTCAGCCAGTGGTTCTTTGCCAACAACCTACATGTACACATTTGTGTTTACCAAAGGACGTTTTAACCATTGATTTTTGCATATATTTGTCGACAGTGTTTATCACCGTGTAGCACAAAATCCTCCACTTGCTCTAAGGCCTTCTTGGCACGATACGCTAGCCAAGGCTTTTATCACTGACCAGGCGCTCGTACTGAATCATGATGACATTTCCAACGTATGACAGCAAAACATGTGTACATATGTTGAACTTCTTTTGCGCCGTACGTAGCCAACCGTGCTAATCGGAGGTGTACAGTGCAGTTTTGGGCAACACATTCCTTGGGAGGGAGCTGGTAGGAACGTTGGGTTGCTCGGTCAATGGCCTGCAGGGTCAACGGCGGTGTGGTGTATTCCGCAAATATGACCGACTGTGAGGGCGGGCACAAGCCGGCATGAGTAGGTTAAACATTGAGTTTTATAAGGGCACCGCGGGGTGACCAGCCCCTACCCACCCAGCCCCACCCCTCCCACCCACCACCCAGCCCCACTCTCCCCACCCAGCCCCTCCCCACCCAGCCTCTCCCTACAGCTCCACCAAGCCCCTTCCCACCCTCCCCTCCCCTCTCTACCCAGCCCCACCCCTCCTCTTTTAGGATGCACGACGGACGGACACAATAATCCCCTGTGGAGTGGTGGAACCAGGTGGTTCCTACCAGTATAAAGATTTACCTACCATGACCATTAGAAAGACATACAGGGATTGACTGCGGACTTCTGGCCAAGAGTTGACTCCTGATGTTATAGACCAGGGGTCGGCAACCAAAATAACAAGAAGAGCCATTTCTTTCCAATTCGGTACAAAATTCAGTATTTCAAGAGCCGCAATGCATCTGAGTACATACTGTACATACGTACATATCGTCAAGAAGCAGCCCGTAAAGAGCCGCATGCGGCTCCGGAGCCGTAGGTTGCCGACCCCTGTTATAGACCCTTCGCTTGTAACTTTACTATAAATCTTGGGGCCAGCACGAGTGTCTAATTGGAGGGCGGTGCGCGAATGCTTGCGCACATGCACAGAGAGCAATGACAGACTCTGATATCAATCATCGCTGTGCAATGGGTGGCACGCCCACCACAGCAGCCAATCAATAGTATAAAGATGATACTTTGATTTTTTTTTTATAAAAAAAGGAGCTTATACGACTGTGGCCAAGAGAGGATAGGCGCAGTGCTCGTTTGTCATCTGGTGCCCAAAACAGACGCACGCACGCGTCGTAGTTCTTTTAAAAAAAATTCAATTTCTGTTGTCTGTACGTAATTTTTATATACCTCACAGCACACTGGCTGGGCAATCACAAAAATTGAGCAACCTCACTTTCAAAGTGAAACAAATCTGACCAAGAATATGTGTCGTATGCAATCATCATTTCTGATTAGCACGCTTGGCTACGTAACGGTCCAGAAGAAGCTCAACATTCATACATCAAGAGGGCTTGAAAAACAAAGGGTTATTCATGCAAATCAGCCAGTGGTTTCATTTGTACACACACGTGAACGCATCTTCATGATCCAAGGTTGTATGAAAAAAAGTAACTTTGTTTAACGATGTCCAACACCCAGGTGTTATTTTCACAAGCATTTCTCTCTGATCAAGAAAGTTGAGATTTTTTAAAACATTTATTTCAGAATTACATTCCTAATTGGTTGACACACTCTGCCTCGGTAAGAAGAGCACTGGATGATTAATTATCTGACAATGGCCCACGTCTTTTTACGGGGTCTAAAGTGTCATTACCGCGCCAACCCATACGGCTTACCCCGTATTCTTGTACAGCAAAATTGAGTTTTCAGGTCCATACGGCGTACAGTCGTTTCAATACGGGCTATAACATTTTTTTTTGTCTATTTGTTTGCGTTTCTCCCTTGTGATGGGACTTTGTAGGATGAACGTTGGGATTAGAAGGGCACGAGGTGACCAATAAGGTCTGAGTTGGTCTGTAATAATGTTGCACACTCGAAATGAAGGGCGTGGGTAGGTGCTCCAAATCGAGGGCAAACACATTTATTGTGGCTAATCTGTAAAATGCAACAGCACGTGTGTCACACACAGCAATCTTCAACCGAGTCGCCATTAACCACGTGACTGGTGTACAAGTGCGGTTATTCATTAACCATGCCAGCTACCTACAGGCCAAACTCCGGCATCACATGCTGCTATACACACATGCATTGATGCACTGCACAGCACATCAGGACTTTCACAGAACCACCCTTTACTCCCTTGCTACACAAGGTCCATTCCTAATGTACCACAATAAGGTAGGCACTGATAAGGGGTTGACAGGTATGAGTGTACGTCTAAGGTCGTGAAACTGGTCCTGCTGAAAAAGCCAGTGGCTTTAGTTCTATGGCTGTGATAGACAAAGCGGCCAGTCTGTATGCGCTCTCCTCTTTACATTGAAAATTTCGCATGCTCGTTGATTTTGAGAGCAAAACAGGGCCAAGTGGATGGTAATGTAAACCAGACATGTTGGGATTTATGTGTAATTATCCTGCCACTTTTTTGAGAGAGCCACATTGCAGCATGGAAGGCAAAGTTATTCATAACATCTATCCCATAAATGTAGATGTATGAGTAATCGCACTCTTCCGCGTTATAATTTAACACCGAAACATATACTTCCGTGCAATTTGAATTATATCCGTGGCAATAAATCTACGTGTATATGTTATGATATGGACATTTTTGCTCAAGTATTTATTTTCAGAAATGCCCAAAACTTTTTGCATTACAAAGTTTTTGGAAAAAGTAGCCTTTTTTTCTTATAATTTCAAATACACAGTTTAACTTTAAAAATGTATATTCCATTGCTTATATTCCATAGGATATCCCATTGCTTCGAATATGCAGAGTTTAGAATAATAAACAAGAATATTAAATAAGGTCCTATGGCCTTCTGATTTATCGACTGAGAGTGTAAAATTATTACACATCTGACGCTTTTCCAGAATATACATTCCACTGCAATTAACTAGTCTTACTTCCACACACGTGACTGGCATACGATTAAGCAGCGCAAAGTGCGTGACATGAACTTTTGGTCACAGCCTTGTTTTAAACTTGCAATGTGTACACTGAGAGGGGGAATAGTGGAGTGTTTATTAGCACACTGCGCTACGAACCTGCGAGTCTGAGACTAATCATCAACCATGGCTAACATCAGTGGAACCAGTCATGGGCCCCTCCTGTCACCAACCTGCACTGACTGGCACTCCCGTGACCGCCGTTGTGTGCGAAGGCCTTCATCCAGCAGTGGCTTGATGGAGGGCTTCATGTTCTAATGTATACATATAAACAACCGTGGTTTTAACAAAAGTAAACCGATGATAAACCTTGATAATCTTTCACCCATCTAAATATTGTATACCAAAAAAGCTGAATTGACTCATAGCCCAATTGAAGAAGTGCACCCGTTATTTCCAGCAACAATATGGTTACGCCCCCCACCCACCCCTCCCTTGAAGGTCACGCTACAGAGCCAGTCTACAGAGCCGCTGGTCTAATCCAGTGAATGCGAAATATCCTTCACCGGCTTAGGGCTGCCAGTGGAGATGAATGCCACCTTAATTGTCTCTTTTGACTTCATGCCACTCGTGTAAATCACATGCCTGATGGCACGGCGAAAACTTTTGAACCTAATCTTCCTTTCTTATCAATCTCCCCCATGCCCATCCCCGTCTCCCGACAGACCTGTCGGTGAAGATGAGCCTCTGGCACCAGGGCACGCGCATGAAGAAGAAGCAGACCAAGCGAGTCAAGTACAAGCTGAACCCGGTGTGGAACGAGGTGGTGATGTTCGAGGTGCCCTTCAAGCAGCTGCAGAACGTCTCCCTGGAGCTGGCGCTCGTCAACTACGACCGCAGCGGGCGCGCAGCCGCGCTGGGCCGCTGCGTGGTGGGCGCACGTGCCGGCGGGCTCGAGGGCAAGCACTGGGAGGAGATGGTGAACAACCCGCGCAAGCAGATCGCCATGTGGCACCTCGTCAACTGAGATTCGCGCGGCGAGGGGCGGCGAGGGGCTGCGAGGGCGGCTGATAACTGATTCTATCCCTTTCCAACTGGCACATCCATGCCAAGCAAGCACGGGCTTCTCATGGTTACGGATGGTATTCCATTTGATATTCGCTGTGCTGTGCCGAGCCAGAACTAGACCGTGACGTAGCGGCTCCACAGCGCATGTAAATCTAGCTCGTGGCCAAGCAGGGCCAGGTGCGGGGCTAATTACGCATCCTTTGCGTGCGTGTGTGTATGTCCGTCGGTACACGGTGTGAGGACACGGGAGTCACCCACGCGCATCATGGCACGTGACGTCAGTCCGCATACCGTGTGAGGAGACAACGTCACGGCGTCACCGACATGCTTGTGGGACTTGTTCATTGCGTGTAACCGTCGGCGGCACGGCTTGGCTTCCCGCGGTGGAAAAGCAAACCGTGTGCGCCAACTGAGCGACGCCGTCCTGGCCCGGTTGTACAATGGATAAAAAAAAATCGGTATTAGTGAGCGAATTAGTGAGCGTAGTCAGCAAGGATGAAAGCGCAACTAGGGCGGATGTTTAACTTGTGGAGGCTGCGGGTAAACGTGACCCCCCTCCCGCCGCCCCCCCCCCCCTCTAGATTTGCTTCCAGCAGGCCTCTTCTGCGCAAGAGCCGATGGGATGGACAGGGTGGTGAGCGTTGATTAATGTCTTTGCATCTGCATCCCCGCGGATACTTCACCATGTTTATTGTACATGGTTCATCCGCCTTTGAAAAAAATCAACAACGGTGTCGTTAGAGTACCGTCATTGGGATCATTTGTAAATATTCGGCTGATCTTTATTAAATATTGGGCGTTTTTGCATGTGCTGTAAGAATTCATCTGTATTAAATGCAGCTATGCTGTAACTGAATGTTTGTTTTTCGAGCAAAATTGGTTGCATTTCAATGCGTCGTGCTTTACTTTACAAAGTGTTTTGCTCCGTGCAGGTTTGCACGATATCCACACGCGCACTTAACGCTCATCGTCTTTTTTCAAGCTCCGTCCCAATCATGTTACCGGAGGGAAAAAACTTTGGAAATTATCTTAATTTTCTATAAAAAATGTTTTAGCACCATATTACGTTTATATACACATCTTTCTTTATCAGCGATTCATTAACCAACCACGCCGTTTATATTTACAATGTACAATCAGGTTTAATTGCTCTAATATAACATTTCCCACCGGCAAACAGATTACTGTCTATATCATTGAAAAACATTTTTTTAATAAAATTGCGTTACTCTTACATTTCCCCCAGTGGGTTTAGGATAATGATCGTAATTTTACAGTGGCTTTATGTTCAAATGTCAAATTTCGAATTTTTTTTTTGTCACTAGGATGTATAACTATGTTTATTATATTTGTCAAAGTAAACATCGTGTCTCACTATTTTTGACAAACCCTTGCCTACATTGCCTCTCTGGGATAAGTGAAATCATGTTAAACCTTACATAAAAACAACTATTGCATATTCACGGTGTTACTTATAAATATGCAAACATGTGCCAAAAAAAATGTCACATCTAATTGAATGTACGTGCAATGTTTACTTATTTAGTTCGACTTCAAAAGCCTTGGTTATGTAAATATGTGGACATGAGTCGTTTATGCAACGTTGGCCACTCTTTTGCTGACCGTAAAATTTTGTCCCGCACTTTCAAGCGAAGGACAGAAACCTTCTCTTGCAATGTTCACCTTCTCCCTCGCGTTGCCGAATGATGTTGTCTGAAGCAAAGTAAATACCAATCATCGCAGCACTTTCTCTATAGCTCAGCCTAACAGCCTCCATTCTACAGAGTTGCCGTCACCACTGCACGACGCACAACAACACACACACACGCACAGGGTCACGTGTTTACGGTATTCACGAGGTATCAGACGAGAAAGCCGCATAGCACCCATCCCTTGGTTAACGTCGCCTTGTTGACCGCACGGATACAAGAGATGACCTTGATTAGAATGAGTCAATCACGTACATCGGGACTTGCAGAAATAACGCGTCGCTAACGTAAGATGTACATCACGTTTCCGTCCATTTGTTCCTGGCCATTTTCAACTGCGGTATATAAAATGCAATCCCGGTCCTGTGCAAGCTTATTGTGGGATGGACATAACAATTACTTGACCTGCTCTCCTGCATACATCTGAGTGGTAATCTCAGGTCCACCAGTGTTACGTGATAGTTGATACGGTATTTGCTAACCTGACGCTGTGTTGCATGTGCAATATGTAAAACTCGATATGAAAACTCCCAACATGCTTTTTGCTAATTATGCATGGCTGGTTAGGATATATAATTTGTAAATACTGTACCGTCGACATGTTAGAGAAAATAAAAACGAATAATATGATTAAGGCAGGATTATATATACATTGTGTAGATATCAATGGAATGCTTTTGTGTGCGTGTGTGTTTATGTGCTTGCAATTGAACGCAACGAAAAATGCCGTTGATTGCAGATTGTACGTATTTTCATTGTATTAAATAAATGTGTTTTTTTAAATCTGTATCGTCTGCTTCAAAATGGAATTCACTTGAAATAACTTCCAATACAAGCAAATCAACACATTTGTAATTTTAAGATGACGTAGGATTAAACAAAAATCACCGTTTTTCTTTGTGTTAGTCTTGTGTTTATGATATTATTGCTAAAGCAGCCTTTTGTAAACAAGGTAAAGGCGCGGCCCCGCAAGTGCTTGCTCACGCCACTGCTGGCAGAAGTGCCTCCACGAGAGAGGGCTCTTGAGTGCCCCGCTCGAGGATATTTGCCTCTCTTGTCCACACTGGGCCGGACGTCTCGTAGGCGGTGGGAGGGCCCACACTTTACCCCATCGCCCACCACAACCTGCTCATCGAATGTTGGGGGAGTGCTACATTTATACACCTGGGTGGACAGAGGTGAGATGATTTAAGAAACCGACACTAAATTTCGATTTAAAGCTTTCGTGACTGCAGGGATTCATCTTCTTGGTTCTTTCGGTAAAGTCACGTAGAATGGAAATAATAAAATAATAAAAATAAAACATAAAATAATAATTTTATTATGTTTTATTTTATTATGTTTTATTTTTATTATTTCCATTCTACGTGACTTTACCGTAAGATAATAAAAAGAAAACATAATAAAATAATAATTTTATTATGTTTTATTATATTATGTTTTATTTTTATTATTATTATTTCCATTCTACGTGACTTTACCGAAAGAACCAAGAAGATGAATCCCTGCAGTCACGAAAGCTTTAAATCGAAATAAAACATTAAATAAAACATAATAAAAAATGTATTTTATTATGTTTTATTTTTATTATTTTATTATTGCCATTCTACGTGACTTTACCGAAAGAACCAAGAAGATGAAACCGACACTTTCTTCAATTTCCTTGGCGGAAAATAAAACCCGGTGACCTCTAGATTACAAATTGTGTGTGATAACCATACAAACATTTACGTGTGTATAATAATGAGACATTAAAGCATTGCAATGAAAACAATGTAGGTCGATGCTTCACCCTTTATTGGAATAATGATAAGTTTCCATCAAGGTCTTAGCTTGATATTCTTGGCAACGTTTGTACAGTTCGGCTTGTTAAGCAAAAGAGTCTCGTTTTAAGCGCCTTTGACATTCAACCGAAACTGTTTTTTTCATTTTGACAGGTAAGGCCCACTGAACTATAGAGCTCTTTGTCAGAAACAACATGATAGCTCAGCGAAGTGGCTTATCATGTAGAAATGTATAGCAGCCAAATACGCTCAACGCATGTTTCTAAATGTGTAGGGAAAAACCGGAGGACCCGGAAAAAAATCCACGCGACCACGGGGAGAACATTGCAAACTCACAATATACAGGTGTCAGGGTCGGGGTCGAACCCACGATCTCCTTCATGCCAGGCGAGAGAGTTAAGATCTCGCCTCCGTGGAGCCCCATTCAATCAGGCAGAGCACCATGAATTATTGCCCTTAGTGTTCAATCAAACAGATGAGGGGGTGGGGGGCAAAGTGCTGCCGATGGTGTTGCCAAGGAAGTGGCACCCTTGTGTTTGTATCTTCACATTTCAATTTAATTAAGCGCCAAGTCGGCCGTGTGTGCCAACAGCACGTCGTCAAACTGTCTGCTTTGTAGACGCGGTGATCTGTTATGCAAACTGATAACGATGCATTAAATATTTAAGCAAGACACTTTTTTTTCGTCGGAATGTCACGCCACGCTGCTTTTAGAAATTAATGAGAACATTTTGGATATTCGGTGATATGACACAATGTTTCAACACAAGTAGATATTTGGCCAACTGCTAAATCATTTTAGGCAGCTTCATTGCAAATAAATTATTTTTATCACTACATCCAGCAGTTAAATATATTATCTCCAAGAACAAAAATAAGTTTTAAACTCTAGATATGAACGATACTTGCGCTGCATTACAAAGCCGGTGAGTTTGATTGCTGGCTACGGCTAACATCAGTGGCCAAGTGGTATGGGCCTTCATGTCACCAACCGACACTGACAAGTTGAGTGAAGTATGGTCAAACAGCAACCCATGACAACAAAGCTGTGTGGAAGCCTTCATTACACAAATAACAAAAAAAACTGATAGTACTGTGGCTTTAAAAGTAAAAATGTTTAAGGCAATGGCTCTGGTTTATAGCACGTAAACATCAATTCGTAAAATACATTTATAGAGGGTCATGCATTATTTATTATTTGAAGTCAAGTCAAGATGTCAATTCCCCGATGGAGTTTGTACATGACAATTGCAATCATCTTATAAATGAGCCCTCGCTGTCACATGCGTGTTACTGTCTAAAATATACTATTTGAACTCTGAGAATAGGTTTTCCCCTTTTAACTGGCAACATAACAGGTGTTAAGATGTTAAAACACCAAACTGAAACCTTTTACAAGGAATCATGTCTGCATTAACCACGATACTTGTGGTCAGAATGCAAACAAAAAAGGTACTCTGATAATATATGCATTGTCTTTGAAACTGATTGGTCCACACCAGAGACCGCTTTCTTTTGAGCCGAGCTAAAAGACGTCCTCTGGTCTAACACCGTTTGAGACGAGGCTCAAAAGAAAGCTGTCTCTGGTGTGGACCAATCAGTTTCAAAGACAATGCATAGTATGTTTTTTGTTTGCATTCTGACCACAAGTATTGTGATTAATGCAGACATGATTCCTTGTAAAAAGTTTTCAGTTTGGTGTTTTAACTTCTCAACACCTGTTATGTTGCCAGAAAAAAGGGGAAAACATATTCTCATATTTTGGTACTGGCAATGGAGGTCCCATGATATTTGAACTCTCTCAACCACATTTTCCCAAAACATCTGACATTTATTTACTCAGGTAACGTTGAGTGGTTATTGCTGTTGTAAGATTGGTGCAGTGTATTGAATCCCCAAACAATGATTCACCCATCCCATGTGGCACATGAGCCGAGTTTAGATTGTGGTAATGTAAGTTGGGCAGATGAGAGTATTCATTGACATTTCTTAAATTATATCATAATCGGAAGCTGCAATAAAGACAAATTATTTGAAGAATTAAAGAGCCACAATGCTTTTATCACATATATACACTACTGGGAAAGATCATAGAAAACTGAATAATAGACTATTTCCAGGTCAACCAACTATTGGGGCATTCAGTTTTAGAAAAAAAAATCCTACCCTTCAAAAAACCGACTACCATACAGAAAAAAACTACCATGCAAAAAAACCCACCATACAGAAAACCAACACAAATACAGAAAACCGATACAGAAAACGGACACAAATACAGAAAACCGACACAAAAAATACCATACAGAAAACAGACACAAATCAGAGACATCCTATTGACTGCTAAGAAAATGTAGTTGGCAGGACACCCCAATCAGGGTTGACAGCTGAAGGATGAGACTGGTGACATAATGGCAGCACAAGAGAACATGTCCGAAATGGGACGACCACCTCGGAGATGGAGCGGTTAGATCAGCTCACATGCTGGAGAGAAATTGATTCTGGCCTCCCAGGACCACAAGGGATAGGATGGTGTAGGGAGGACCTCATCCAGTAGGGAATTGATCATGGTTAATCCTCAAAATGATGATGGCAAAACATCAAGTGATTTGAAAGTTAGCGGTCACTTATTTCTTGCCCGACCAAGAAGTGGCTGCTTGTACCATTTCCCTGTTGTCCTTGAAGAATAGCCATGCGATGTTCTTTATCTTTGTGCAGCATAGGTACTTTTTTACTCTTATTCTTCCGCAGATGAAAAAACGCAGGTGTAACACATTTGTCCTGTCCTACTCCCGATGTTGTGCCACGCGTGTGTGCCGTCTGCGGTTCAGCTGCTGGCAAGGTGACTTTGCTGGGCTTGGCATCTCATTAGTTCCGTTTGCAAAATGATAAACAATGTTGTCGTTTTAGCACACACACAATAAAAACAACAACCGTACAACTTTGTTTCCCAAGCAATAAAAAACTAAAACGCACGCCAAAAAAAAAACAAGTTAATTCGCAATTTATGCTGGTTTTTGCGTTTGGAATCTGGGAAAATTGGAGAGGATGAAAATAGATGGATGAGAATACATCACCCTAATCAATATCCCCAGCCGCTGTTTCAAATTCCACAATAGAAGGACGGCACTCAATTTGAGGGAAGGCGCCGGCAACTTCAGGCATTGCGCCAGTAATGCGACCGATTTGTGGCTAAAACAGACACGGCATCTCTACTCAGAAATATTACAGACGCGGTTCTCATGGGTGCCGTAAGCATCCTCTAGGGATACACGCAACATCCCCTCGGGCTTCCACGCAACAGCTTCTTTCAACCCACTCACATACATCCTAACCAGATGCCTGTGCCCGCATCAGCCCACAGCAGTGGTTCTCAAAGTGTGGTTCCAGGACCACCGGCGGTTCGCGCGGGTCCTCCAGGTGGTCCACGCGGCTGTGATGCAATCGCAGGTTGATTCGGACAAGAACGACAACACCTTTTGCTTTGGACATTAATTGATACAGGTAGTCCCCGACTTACGATGGTCCGACTTACGATATTTCGATCTTACGATGGCGATATGTAGGCTAGGTGTAGTCACAAACCGAACCTCTCCATAATAAAGGCTCAGTCTTTTGTTATGCAGTCTATTCATAGTCTCAAACCGCACCTTACCATAATAATAAAAAGTGGGCCATCCCTGCCCCTTCCCCCCCTCAACCATTATATATACGGAGTGGTATCTCCTGTAATCTCTCATTTACTTGATACAGCTGTCGGGCTGTGACGGTTCCACCTGAAGACGGAAGCTTGTGTTGCCTCCGAAACGTCGTGATTTTGATTTTATTTTACTTTTATTAATTTTAATGTTTTACCTACGTGACTTTACCGAAAAAAACATAAGAATATGAATCCTTGCAGTCACGAAAGCTTCAAATCTAGTCGTACTTGAAATGTAGATGTTGTGGGTTTACTCTCCAACACGCCG